GATATTGTGAATGGAGTGGTTTTCCTTATTTCCATTTCAGAGGTTTTGTTGCTGATATACAGGAATGCCTTTGATTTGTGCGTGTTGATTTTATTAGATCAGATAAATTTGATGAAGTTATAGAATATAGACTCAACATAAAAAATAATAGCATTTTTGAGCACGAATAATGAAATTGCTGAGAAAGAAATCATAAAATGGAATCCCATTAACAATTGCTGCAAACAAAATATAATGACTAGAAATAGATATACTCAAGGAAACAAAAGACTTCTACAACAAAAAGTATAAAACTCTGATGAAAGAAATTGATGAAGACACACACACACAAAATGGAGAGACCTCCCCACAGCCAAAATCTAGAGAAAATAAACAAAGCTGGAAGTATCACACTACCTGACACCAAAATATACAACAAAGCTGTATGGGACTGGCCTAAAAACAGACACAGAAGAGAGAACCTGGAAATATCCCCCATGCATTTGTAGCCAATTGATTCTCAACAGAGGCACCAAAATCCTACATTGGAGAAAGGACAGACTCTTTAACAAATGGTATTCAGAAAACTGGATATTCACATGCAGAAGATTGAAACTTGACCCCTATCTCTCAACCTTTACAAAAAATGAACTTGAAATGAATTGAAGACCTGAATGTAATACTGGAAATTATAATATACCAGTAGATGAGTAAGAACATTTCAAGACAATAGTATAATAAACAATATTTTAAATAAGACCCAAAAGCTCAGGAAACAAATGCTAACATAATAAAGTATATGTATGAAGACATGAATTGGTGTGAATATACTGTGTATACAACCAGAGATATAAAAAATTGTAAAAGAAAAAGAATTTAGTTTTCATTATTATAAAATGTGAACAATGATTAGGAATTCTAAAAAAAAGAAAAAGAAAGAAAGAAAGAAACTAAAATGCTTCTGCAGAGACACAATCACCAGGGTGAAGAGATAACCTAAAGAAAGGGGAAAATATGGGCTGGGGATAAAACTCAGGTTGGTACAGTGCTTGCCTTGCATGCACAAAGCCCTGCATTCAATCCCCAGCACCATACAGAAAAAGAAAAAAGAAAGAAAGAAAAGACAAGACAGAAAGGGGAAAATGTTATTTGCATGAAATTCATCTGACAAAGGATTAATATTCAGAATATTGAAAGAACTTAAAAAACTCAATAACAAAAACAATTTAAAAATAGACACAGGATATGAATGGACACTTCCCAAAAGAAGAAATTCAAATGGCCAATAAATTTAGGGGGGAAAAAAGTTTGATTTCATTAGCCATCAAGGAAATGCAAGTCAAACTCACAATGAGATGTCATGTCACTCTGGTTAGAGTGGCTATTATCAAAAAGACAAGAAGTAGCTAATGTTAGCAAAGGTGTGGAGAAAAGGAAACTCTTACTCTTGGTGCAAGTGTAACCAGTACAGCCACTATGAGGAACAATATGAGCTTTTAAGGGGTTGGAATAAGGAGAGGGGAAAACAAAAAGAACTGGACAAAGGAGAAGTCAAGCAAAATCAAGACAGATGCCCTTTTCTGTTTACATCCACATCTCAAGACTCAGGCCAACCCAGAAGTGAGTACTTTCTAGCAGCACTGGACCACCTTACCACCAAGTGCCACCAAAGTCCAAAGGTGTGGCAGAGTCCCAATATAAACCATTTTTTAAAAGTGGCTTTGACTTTTCCTGTTGTTTTTATTTCCCATATCCCTAAGTCTAATTTCTCTTTCAATTTGTTTTTCCTTTCTTTTCCATTTTCTTCTCCCTTCCTCTCAATAACCATATCTTAGCCTTTGTGGAGACTCAAAGACAGTCTTTTGATCTCTAATCTAGTTCTCAGTGTTAGAAAAACATTTAGTCAGCCACATCAGATTATTTTAATTCCCAAATATGCCTGTGAAGATAATTTCCCATTTTGGTTTTATTTTGATTTTGTTGTTATTGTTGTTGTTCTCTTGTGGCTTTGGTTTTTTTTATTATTAATAGCTTTAGCATCAGTAATTCAGACTTCAGGTTTCTTTGCTTTAGGCCTCCATGAAGTCAGTTATTTTGTGGTTATTTAGTAGTATTTATTGGTGGAAATGATGAAGGAGGGAGTATCACATTAGAAGGCCTCACAAATGCAGAGCCCACCACTTGTCCAGGGAACAAGCTGCTTCTCAGCCACCATGTTTTCAGATTCATCTTCATTAAACTTAGGGAAGTTCCACTTCTTTGAGATGTCCGTCTTGTGGTGGCCAGGAAACTTGAACTTGGTGCACTGCATAGAGGCTGGCTCAGTCACATGCTACTTGTTGTGTAGCCTGGTAAGGATAGACATGATGACTTGCCCAATGTGAACCCTGAATGCCATGCCCTGGAACTTCCCAAAGGGACTCCACATACTATCTGGGGCCTTGGTTGGGAACAGTTCTGGATCAAAGACATGAATGTCCACTGGAAAGGGCTATCATCAGGGTCCATAAGGGCAACCTGTATAAACAGCAGACTGTGTACTCTACTGACGAGGTTGCTATTAACAGCCATTGTAAGTCAACATATTTTAAAGGCAGATACCACCTGGCTTGGGTTGAGTGCACCCACCCTTTGTTAATCCTGAGTGGACCATGTCAGGGACATGCCAAAATTTAGTCTCATTCTATCGCTTCTTGACTTTTCCAGTCCCGGCAGCTGTCACCAACCTGAGGATCACAGAAAACTCCACTAGACACCTGTCCTTCAGTTGGACCGCCTCAGAGGGGGAGTTCAACTGGTATAACATCTTTCTGTACAACCCGGATCGAACTCTTCAGGAGAGAGCCCAAGTGGACCCACAAATCCAGAGCTTCTCTTTCCAGAACTTGCTACAAGGCCGAATGTACAAAATGGTGATCGTAACTCACAGTGGGGAGCTGTCTAATGAGTCTTTCATTTTTGGAAGAACAGGTAAGACCCAGACCCAAGCAGCAGTAAATAGCAAGAAACTTCTCCCAATGCTCACTGCCTCTTCCTTGATTTGTCCTTAGTTCCCTATTCTATCCAGGTAATAACGTTGTATAATTCTGTGACCTTCAGGATATTTGACCCTAAATCAGGCCTTTGATGATAGATAAATAATTTGTGGACTGTTTTTTTTTCACTGGCTTCTGGTTTATTTATTTATTGCTTCCACTTATTTTCCTCCTAGTGCTTGATGAAAAATGAATATGGCTTCTCTTCTTGCCAGCAAACTGTGCACGAGGGTTGTAATCCAACATGGCTCTATTCAATTCGTGTCCTTCAGCTTCCTACAAAAAACACAAGGCAGAGGGCAGGTCCAGAGAAGGGCAACCACAATTGAACAAGCAATGATTACTTTGATTGGAAGCATAGCACTAAATGAAATAAAAACAGGATTCCAAGACTGAGAGGAAAAATGGAGTCTCCTGTTTTTCTAGATAAGGCCCCTGACCTCTGAAAACTCTGCACAAGGGAGAGAAGAGGGGGCAGGGACAGCAGATTTTAAAGGGGAAGGACATTGGAACATCTTAAATTCTTTGAAAGAAGTGAATACTGTTGTGACAGTGACTTGGCAGGACAAGACAATACTTTAAACAGAGAAGGCATCTTAACTGAGCCCCAAAGATGAAAAGAGTCTCCTGAAAAACATATCCCAAAGGCACCCAAGAGTGGGCCACTAAAGGGAATGAAAAAGAGCAGTGGTGAGCTTAGAGGACAAATAGAATTGCCTGCATGTTACCATTTCCAGGGCAACCTGCCCTCTGCACATTGTCCCTTGCCTGCTCATTGATGTTTGAAGCTCCTCCAACAGGGGCATCGTTTTTTACTGACCAAAGAACAACAAAGCTTAAATATGCATGGAGCAGGTGGCAGGTGCCTGACTTATACAATAGTAGAAGTGACAGTTAACATTTCTTTTCTTAAGTGAGGTTGTACCAGTGCAGATTTTGATAACAAAGAGAGTAGAAAACTAAAGGCAGATGGAGAGGAAGTAAAGAGACTCAGAAAGGGGTTATTGAGTATTTGCTTCCATTTAGATGGCTCAGAATAGAAGGAGCTAGAACCATTAATGAACATTTTTCTGGGCCGTTTATAACCTAAGTGACAAACTACTGGGTTAAGTATTAATAATTCATAAACATTTCATTTTACCTGTTTGTTAGGATGCTTGTGGCAACCATATGGAAACCACCACCTGTTTTGTTTTAATTTGCACCACATCTACAGCCCACATGCCCCATAGCATAAGTGACCCCAAAATGTAACTAAGAACTGACTCTACAATGCGTTCTTACTCACCTACCTGACCAGCGTAGCTCGTGTTCTTACCTGTGGACCAAATACTTTACTTCTCTTTTATTCACAGTAAACTTTTCTTCTATTTAAGTCCCAGCCCCTGTGAGTCATCTCAAAGGATCCAATCGGAACATGACAGATAGTCTTTGGTTCAGCTGGAGTCCAGCTCCTGGGGACCTCGACTTTTATGAACTGATTCTCTACAATCCCAATGGCACGAAAAAGGAAAACTGGAAAGACAAGGACCTGACAGAGAGGCGTTTTCAGGGTCTTGTCCCTGGAAGGAAGTACACACTGTGTGTGATAACTCACAGTGGAGATCTCAGCAATAAGGTCACAGGGGAGGGCAGAACAGGTAAGAAGCCCAGTCACCAATTGCCAAGTGTTGGTGAGAAGCAGCTTCCTAATACACATTTTAACTATGTCTTTAATGATAAATAAAATCGATGATGCGCCATGTACTAGTTCCTGAAATGCAAAAGGCACTAGGGTACAATGAATAAGAGATACATTCTTTGGTCAAAAAGAACTAGATCCTTAGCTTTGCACTGCCACTTAATCTCTATGAAGCCAGATGGGTCACTGAGCATTCAGTTTTCACATCTGTAAAATGGAGATAATGATAAAATCATCATTGTGTTGCTATGGCCAGTGCTTCCTCAAGTTTTTATGTCTTGAGCACACCTAGATAATATCTGTATGCTACCTGGGGTCAATCAACAAGGCGATCTAAAACTGGACATAATTATCTATGAACCTCAGCCATGCCACCCAAAATATAATGGAATCAATATCCTGACACACTTGTAACCTATTCAGGGAATATTTATGCTCTATATGACCTTGGTAAGGAAGCTTGTTATGAATATTAAAGAAAAGGTACATAAAACATTTGAGGACATTGTCTTATACATAATAAATACTATAAATGAAAGCTCCTACTATGTCATCATCGTTATCAGTGATCGTATTTGTATATGTTATGGCACAGATGTGATTATGTGACCTTTCAGTGATCGTATTTGTATATGTTATGGCACAGATGTGATTATGTGACCTTTCACTTTCTCCTACATACAGCCCCAAGTCCTCCCAGTCTTTTGTCATTTGCTGATGTTGCAAACACATCTTTGGCCATCACCTGGAAGGGACCCCCAGACTGGACAGACTACAATGACTTTGAGCTACAATGGCTCCCCAGAGATGCACTCACTGTCTTCAACCCCTACAGCAACAGAAAATCAGAAGGACGCATTGTGTATGGTCTTCGTCCAGGGAGATCCTATCAGTTCAGCGTCAAGACTGTCAGTGGAGATTCCTGGAAAACCTACAGCAAACCAATTTCTGGATCTGTGAGAACAAGTATGACATGTTTTTCTTTCTTGAATTTTGGAGGGAGTGAGAGGAAGGATATATTCAACATCTTATCCCAACCGGGCTTGGTTTGAATATAGTTTTTTGTATGAGATTGATTGGATTTGAATTCAGGTAGAAGTCTCTCCATGCATTTCTTCATTCATTCAACATTGGAATTTAATATGAAGAATTTATTTGTACCCTCATGGAGCTTGGGTAGGAGATATTATAATTGAACAGATAATTATTCTTTGATTGTGATAAGGGAAGTAAATGACACTTTATAAAAATGTGTATTAGGAGCATCTGAGCCAATACAGGAGATCGTCCTAGAAGAAGAAAATCCAAATTGAAAATAAAGAGAGAACAAGATTTATCAGGTGAAAGTGGGGAAAGAAGTGAAGAATATTGCAGATAAGGAGAATAAAATATTGCAAGTCAGGGAGGAGAGGGAAAGTCTGCTAATAAAAAAGCACAAAGTAGTTGGCCAGAGAATGAAAGGTGAGCATAAAGAGAATCCGATCATAAAATGTCTTGTATGCTGTGCTAACAGCTTTGAACTTTATTCTGAACCAATTGGAGCCTCTCAGATCTACAGAAATAGTATAATCATATTTACACTTTAGTAAGTCACTTGGGGTACATTGCAGAGAACAGATTGAAAGGGGAAAACTAGCAGCAAATAAATCAGTTAATACCCAGAAAATGTAATTTCCTAGATCAATTATTGGTTGTTAAAATATGTAGTTGAAAATCAGAAATTTAAGCAAGAGTTTTTTCATTTATTCAATAAATATTAAAACTATGACAGGTATAACTTGTGCTCAATTTTGTATCAAAGAGCAGTTTGGGATCAGATAATTTTGTGTGAAAAAGAACTAAGAGTTCTGGTTCATAGCAAGCTCAGGATGCGTTTTCAGTGGCTTATTTTAGATGGTGTCAATTGAATCTGTTAAGCAGAACACCACACACTTGGTTACCAAATCCAGAATAGGACTCAATACTCTTGCCCCTTGCATCTTGGTATTGGAGTCACCAAGTGAAACCCAGTGTAATCAAGCACTGGGTAGAACAAAGCTTTACTCACATAGAGAAGAGAAGAGACCAGACAAGATCAGATTCAACAGCATGCGTCAGCCCCCGGTCAGTGGGTCTCTCCAGATACTGTTGCTGGGCGAGTGGCAAAACACACCCCTCAGAGGCAGTAGAAGTGTTCTGACCCCCTCCTCAGAGGACAGATATAGATAGTCTTGGTGTGGCCTGGGTACTCTGTGATGCAGAACAAAAGAACATATTTTGAGCATGCAAATGGGAAAGAAGTTCTCACACAGAGTGATCAGCCCAGTACAAGCCATGGGGCTCTTGATCTCTTGTGAGGGAAATGTTCTAGCACAAGGTTCATTTTTACATAGCCAAGTGGGGCAGCCAATGATTGCACACATAAGACCACCTTTCCCAACAGCTTCCTGGCTGCTCAGTTTAAGAGCTCATGCAATGCCAGTAGAGATAGGACTTGTATGTCACATCTGGACTATTATATCCCCATCCTGTATGCTAGAATTTAAGAGCAGTATTTGTAAATGGGGCATGCTCCAGAGGAGAACAACCAGCCCAAAGAGGCACTCAACTCTGTGTTTTATGAGTAACAAATAAAATCATATATTTATTTATCTAGGATTGTATTAAAATTGGATAGGGCTGTGGGTAATACAAATCCTAAAATAACAGAAGCTTAAACAAAGTAAAAGTTTATGGTTTATAGTTCTTATATAAAACCATTTCATGAGTTGAGAGTGTGACTCAGAGCTAGAACATTTGCCTAGCGTGCACAAGGGGTTCCATCCCCAGTGCCTCAAGAGAAAAAAATCATTCCAGTTCTCTCTTTCTCACAAATATGCTCTAGCTATGATGAACAATTTGCAGTTATTATCTTTGATTATTCTTATCTTTGCTTTTCTATAGGTAACATGTTTTTCTCCTTTGGCTTCTTTCAGGAGGTTATCATTGCTTTTCTGTAGTGTGAAAAATATGCTTACGTGTGTATTTTGGACATTCATCCTATTTGGTGTTCTCTGAGCTTCCAGGATCTCTGGCTTGGTGTCCAATATTAATTTGTGGCAAATTCTTAGTCACTCTTGTTTCTCCTTCTGGTATTCCCATCGTGCCTGTTTTCTGCCTTTTATATTTGTTCCATGGTCCTTGAATGTTCTGCTCTGTTTTTTTTTTCAGTCTTGTTTTTGTTGTTGTTGTTGTTGTTGTTTTGTCAGTTTTGCGGGTCTCTATTGTAGTTTTGGGGACAGCAGTTTGTCCTGTGTCCTCAAGTTCAGAGACTCTTTCCTCAGCCATGCCCAGTCTACTAATAATTCCATCAAAGTATTCTTATTACAGTGTTTTGATCTCTAGCATTTCTTTTCGGTTCTTAGAATGTCCACTTTGTATCACCCGTCTGTTCTATTGTGTTGTCTACCTCATCCATTAGAGCCTTATCACAAGCATTCTTGTTTTAAATTCCTGGGCAGATCGTTCCCACATTCCTGTTATATCCTCTTCTGGTTCCAGATGCTTCTTCATTCTTTTCAAACTATGTGTTTTGCCTGTTAATATGCTTTGTACATTTTTTTTATAACCAAACATGATGTACTAGGCAAGAGGAATAGCTGTGATAGGCCTTTAGTGATGTGGCAAGGTGGGGAGGGAGCTTTGCATGGTGACTGCATGAGCACATCTTATTCCTTTAGAGAGCTAGTACCTATGGACTGTGTGATGCACATAGGTACCATCACACAAGGGGATTTTTCTCCCATTTTCATTGTGGGAACCTGGTTAAGTTCCCAGAGCTTAAACTCACAAACGTGTGGGGGCTCCCACATCTGGGTCATCCTGCAGTTTCTAGCTCTCAAACATACCCACACTCAGCCTCCAGCAATTCTTCTGTTATAGCTCTGATTTTCCTACCTGAACACCAATTCCTAGATTGGTCCTCAGCTCATGAGTACTTTAGTGAACCCTAACTTCCATATTCACTTCCATATTCACTTCTCTGTCTCTGTAGTGTTTGGGGACAGCAGTTTGCCCTGTGTCCTCACTTCTCTTACAGATCCAAGAAGATTTGCTAATTTTGTGTCCAATCAGCTTTTTATTTGTTGGGATAGAGTGGCAGCTTCCAAGCTCTATTCATGCAGAACCAGAAACCAGAGCAGTGCCCATTTCTTAGTGAAAAGGGATGTGACTTGAGTCTTGGAAGACAGGGAGGATTTAGAGGTCAAGGGGAGAGAGAAGAAATTAAAGGAAAAGGTTGAAGTAGATTCCCATGATATTCTTTCTGCAGATTATCAGAATTATGGATTTGGCAGGATGCCTTGAAAGATTTTCTCCAGTCTATCTGAAGAGAAAGGTGTCATTGGGACTCAGCTGTGACTTATTTTGAAGGGAGTTCAGCAGATCAACAAGCAGTTAGTGTTTTGAAAGACACAATTATTGCCTGCCTCAAGACCCAGTTCTTCCTCTATACCAAAAAAAATCTTTGTTAGTTTTTTCTTAAAGTCATCTTCATCTAAATCTTTGTGACTTAGTGACATTTGTAGACCTTGATATGAAACAAGAATTAATTTGGTGTCACACATGATGGATGAGTCAAAGCTGTGATTGTTTAGCACAAGAATTTCCGTAGCAAAATATGTGTCAAGAGAAGGTGTGTTGCATTACAAAGCAGAGTATCAGGTATTACCATTGTAAGGGACTACTTAGTCTACACATAGTTCCTAAAATTCATCTATGTAACGAGTCCTTCATGAGTTGAAAGAATGACCTATGCCACAAGCAACGCCAGGGTCACAGGCTATGCATGCGCTCAGAAGCCCATGCTTAGAGAGGCCCTGTACTTGCCTTAATTCTTTGATGTCAATGGCTTAAAATTCTTAATTTTTTAACATTGGCAATGCATTTTCATTTGGCACTGGACCGTGAAAATTATATAGCTAGTCTTCTCTACAAGATCTTTAAGAGGATATATAAATTTAGTTTGGGGAGGTGGAGGAAGGGAAAAGTAAAGAAAGGATGAAATTTTGTAAGAGGGACCATAAAAACCCAACAATAAAGTGGAATTGGTTTTTCCCATTCAGTGTTCACAAGGGCCATCAAAATTGCCTTTTGCCTTATTTTTCGACTCTCTTCCTACAACATACAGTGTTTCTGTGAGCTTATTTGATAGGTTGATCTCACTGATTATTGCCATCTGAGCACTTATTGTATTTTGTGCTGTGGCCAATAGTTTACCCTTGAAATTTACTCTTTATCAAGGCTTTCAACTCCTGGAGTGAAATAGAGTGGCATAGACCTAGTTTTCAAGTTCTAGTCCCAGAGTCTGAGAGTTCCTGAGAAATTCCTGGAAAATGAGGATATGCAAGCGGGCAGGGGGGGGGTGATCCCATTCTGGCTTGGCATTTCTGAGCCCTGAAAGCACGCACAACACAGGATCATAGCTCTTCTGATTTTAGGTATTGGGGGTCTGAGAACTTTTCTTGTTTAAATGACTCAGTTACTATAATTAAAATTCATAAACTACTCATCTCAACTGTCCAATTTAGCTTCATAGCATGTTATTAGAGATGGTAGACATGCAGCTAACTGGGGGCGGTCTCAGAGTTTGGTTACTAACTTGAACAGTCTCATAAGAGCTTTTCTTTCAGACTGAATCTTTTACTCATTGCTGTGTCATTCACAATAACAATAGATCAGCTACCATCTATTGAGTTGCTACTATGTGTCAGCTACTGTGTTAAGCAGAAGAACACTGGATGGTGATAAACACAGGGGGATAGAACAGCATGACATGGACATACATGGGAAGCCACCACACTTTCAGTGCCTGAAGCTTGTCATGTCAGCAGAGAGGGGCAGGCAAAAAATGGAGGAGAGAGACAGAAGACAGGGTCCAAGGGATAAAAAATTGATAATATCATTTCCTAATTTCATCATTATTAGATCTTACATGTATTAAGTAATTACTATGCCAACCACTGTTCTAGGTGACCAGTCATGTCCACCATTGAGAATCATTATAATAACCACAAGAGGCAGATATTCTTAATTTCCTCATTTTACAGATGGAACATAGGGAGGTAAAGTAATTTGCTCAAGAGTACAGCACTGGTAAATAGAATTTGTATTCAGGCTGACCAAGTCACCCTTTTAACCTCAAAACTTCTCTTCCTCGCCTTCTACCTGATTTCTGCCACGTGATTTCCGTGTTTCTGTGTACATTTGTGTTCCCAGTCATGTATTATTTGATGATTTTCTAATGGGACAGCATTTTAATTTTCAATATTTTTTTTCAAAGTGAGATCTGGCAGGCAAAAATTCTCTTGAAGACTCATAGAATTTTTTTTTCCCTCAAAACACCATCCAAATAAATGATGAAAACTATGTGTTGATGGGCTGGGGTTGTGGCTCAGCGGTACAGTGCTTGCCTAGCGCATGCGAGGCCCTGGGTTTGATCTTCAGCACCATATAAAAATGAATAAATAAAATAAAGGGATTGTGTTCAACTACAACTGAAAAATAAATATTAAAAAGAAAACAAAACCCTATGTGTTGAACTCTCAGAACTAGTTGGACCTAGAGGAGCTGAAAACCAAAATAATCTTCCCCAGTGCTGAAATGCATCTCTTTCCCTGTCTCCTTTAGAGCCAGACAAAATACAAAACCTGCACTGCCGGCCCCAGAACTCGACAGCCATTGCCTGCTCTTGGATTCCTCCCGATTCTGACTTCGATGGGTATAGTATTGAATGCCGCAAAATGGACACCCAAGAAATTGAGTTTTCCCGAAAGCTGGAGAAAGAAAAATCTCTGCTCAACATCATGATGCTGGTACCCCATAAGAGGTACCTGGTGTCCATCAAGGTGCAATCAGCCGGTGTGACCAGCGAGGTGGTTGAAGACAGCACCATCACAATGATAGACCGTAAGTGTCCCTGGAGCTGTGGGTGGGGCCTCCTGTCACACAGGACAAGGGGCTTTGCACCTTACTCCATCATATCCAGTCCACTATTCACTTGCACACGGTTCCCTTACACATAAACTTGTCACTTGGAGAAGAGGACCCAAAAGGCTCCAGAAAATGGAAACATTTTTCTGGGTAAAATACCCTAACAACAAACAAGTGAAATGATCTTAAAAGTACCTGAATGAGTTAGTATCTAAATACATCACTTTGCCTGATACAGTTAGAGCTATAATGGAGCTTGGAAGCAATTTGATGCTTACAACTTCAGGAAATCCTGCTGAGGAGCTGCCTCTTTCATTATATTTAATTTGCCACTGGAAAATCACTTCCTCTGCCTGCTTGCCTTCAGGAAAGGAGAATTTCTTGACTGCAAGTTTGAAACACACACACACTGTGTCACACGCTGAGTCTGATGTGAGTGAGCGGAGTCCATTTCACTGACTTGGGGAGTTGATGAGAGCAGCATTGTGACCCCTCTTGGTTCCTTCCCCACCTCTTTTTCCAGGTCCTCCTCCTCCACCCCCACATGTTCGTGTGAATGAGAAGGATGTGCTAATTAGCAAATCTTCCATCAACTTTACTGTCAACTGCAGCTGGTTCAGTGACACCAACGGAGCTGTGAAATACTTCACAGTGGTGGTGAGAGAGGCTGATGGTAAGTTAATGTGAGTTAACTAATTCTACTGTTAGATGGAGAATTGCTTTCTCAAAGGTCATGTGGGGGCTCCTTCCATCACAAGTTTTTTAAGAGTAGAAAAGTTAATTTTGATATCATTCTGCTCTGTCTCTGCTGGATACAGGGAGTTGTAACAAAAAAAAAAAAAACTGCTCCAAAACTCTTGTGGCAATAAAGCCAATTACCTTTGGGCCTAGTGATTAAATAGGAAGATAATAATCATAACCATAACCATCATTAATTGAGCCCTTACTATTTACCAGGCAATATTGGAGGTGCATGGTGTGTATCAACACACTCAGTCCTCTCACAACTTATCAATCTTGATTGTTACTCTCTTGTTCTACCATTAAATAGCAATGTGTCTCAATTCTTTGCCCTTCTCTGACTCAAATACCACAACCAAGTATATACTCCCAAGTCACCCACCAACTCACAAAAATATCCAAAAGCTTGAAAGAGGCAAAAGGTGTTCATGAGAAGCATTCCTTCTTTACTGAATTTAGAATGGTATGACTCATTCTCTAGTTTCCTGAATTATTCAGTGGCTACCTAATTCCTAAAGTCAGGATAAATACTAGGTAAAAGTTATCACAACGTTCCATATAACCACTGAGTGTGGCCACAGCTTATTATATCAGCATTTGTCAAACTACAGGTAGGAGAGTTTACTGGGGTATGTATTTGCCATTGAGGTCCAATGTGTTATTTCTCCAAAAGAGATGCTTGTGCCTAGAATGATATTAATATATATTACTTCCATAATATTTTTTTTCAAAAGTGTTTAAGGTGTTGCACATGAATTTCTTAAGACTGTCAGGGGACAATTTTGACCCATTTGTAGGTAAGGAGAGAACTTTAAACCTAACAAACACTGGAGCAATTTCTAGGCTAAATGGTATTTTGGTCTCACTGGGTCCCTAACAGTCTGTGTGCTTTTACATTTAATTTAATTGTACTAAAGTTGGTTATGCATAATTGATTAAATAATTTCAAGGGTCAGTAGTGCATCCCAAATTTTCTCACACCTCATAATTGAAGATGAATTTGTGAACTGTGGAAAGACTTAAAATTTAATTAGGCTGCAGTGAAGATAATGTTTTACTACATGAATATAAGAAGGTGACCAAAAAGAAGTCACACTAACAGCAGCTTTGGGTTCTGCAGCCAGAAAGATGGGTTTCCATTACTGGTGTCCATGGAGATGGGTTGTGATCCCTTGTGATCCTTAAAATAATAGTTCATCTCCTGTAAATGTCACACATAGCATATATGCTCATTCTAAAAGCAACATTCCTTTTCAACTGTTGCCAACAAAATATTTCCTTTATAGGAAAGGAAAATTAGTGACAAAAGAACTAATCAAATGCAAGCAGTCATCTGTCACATGGGTCTTGGATTTGCTTGTCTGCAGGGAGCTCTGCCAGCTGGAGGGGTATGAAAGAGGGAATTTGGGAAAGAAGGGAAACCAAAGAACATTTTGAAAGGTGACTTCAGGATTTAGGAAGGGGGACATGGGAACTTAGGAAAGTGAAAATAGAATTAAAGAAAAACCCATAAAAGTCTCTACTTGGAACTTTGATAAATGGGACTTGGGAATGTGATGTTGGGAGGACCTAAGTTCTTGGGATTAATCTCTCTCAATCCCTTCCTTCTCCTCTACCAATCAATCTGCATCCTCAGACAGAGCATTAGTAGAAAACTGATAACCAAAAATAACAATAATGATAATGATATTTCCAAGATATACTCATTGTGAGCAAATTTTATTAAACAAGAATACAGGATAATGAACCCCACAGTACCACACCTTGAAGTTCATTGTAAATGGTATCTAATCTCTATAATATTTATCTTCCTATTATGCTTTTCTACCGCCAACATCAAAATTAGTTGACAGTGCCAAAATACACAGCAGGCTGGGTGGACAAGGGAGGAGTTCTGGGAAGTGCTCTGCGTGATGGACCAAGTTTGAGCCAGGACTAAATTGTACCCAAGATAACAGAGAGCCACACAGAGCAATTATCAGACTGGGAATGGCATGTGGAGTGTTCCCTGTGGGACAACTGCTCTGGCCAGGGCCATGATTTCTTTTATCTGTTCTCTATTTCCCAGGTCATAGGGGTTTCCTTATTAGCTCAACTGCAGTGGTTATTGGCAAGGTAGAGAGCTCATGGAGCCGGTCCACTCTCTCAATGGGGAATTAATTGTCCAGCTTTCTGGAATTACTGGGTACATTCTCATTTTTTTAACCCACATTTTTTGTTGCTGCATTATAGTTGTACATACTTATGGGATTTTGTAGTTACACATTAGTACATGCACACAATACACAATATAACAATATAATTTGGCTAATATTACTCCCAAGCACTTCCCTTTGGGACTAACTATCATTTGATGCAATGACCTAATCTCATTTTATTTTCCTAGAAAAGTGATGATATACACGTGTGTGCATATTATGTATACAAAATTTCTTTTAGAAAAAAGTGAATTAAAGTTAATTTCATCAAAAGACTTTCACAGCGATACTCTGGGATGACCAGAGATAATGGATGAGGAGGCAGCCTTAGAAACCTAGCTAGAAATCACTCAAGCCACAAGAAAAGCAAGTACTTAACTGTGGGTTTTCTCCTCCAGGCAGCGATGAGATGAAGCCAGAACAACAGCACCCTCTCCCTTCCTACCTGGAATACAGGCACAATGCCTCCATTCGAGTGTATCAAACCAATTATTTTGCCAGCAAATGTACCGAAAGTCCTGACAGCAACTCCAAGAGTTTTAACATTAAGCTTGGAGCAGAGATGGATAGCCTAGGTGGAAAATGCGATCCTACTCAGCAAAAATTCTGTGATGGACCACTGAAGCCACACACTTCCTACAGGTTAGATGCATTACCATTGTTTTGCTAGAAAAGATATGCTACATTACAGGATGCTCAGCTATCTGAGAATCTGCTGGATGTAAGCTTCTGAGATTAATAGTCTATGTTACAACAATACTCTACATTTTGCTGGGTAATTTATAAAAGTTGGTTTTCTGCCTCCATTCTCAGGTAATGTGTAAAAAGAGCTTTCAGCATTCTGCAAAAGTCACAATTTGTTATGTGAAAAACTGAAGACTTTTAATAGACTGTTTTTTTTCTCCTACAAATTCTTTAATATGAGTCAAATAATTTATGACCTTCCCTCTTGTGAAAATATTCAAATAGACTTGAGTTTAAGGAGACTTGAACAATATGAGTTTATATCTTCTGCTCTTAACAAGAACTGGAATTATTTAATTTACCTTCTGAGGCATGTAAAGATGAAGATGTTTTGTGGTTCAGCAGAACTCTGAAGGGAAAGAGTCCCTGAATGAGTTGGGGACACCCTTTCTTCCCTCTGAGATGGCAGGTGAAAAACAGCAGCCATTTGGCCTTAGCCCCAGAAAGCACACTGCCATTTGTAGGCCCTTGCAGCCCTAGAAATTGTCTGTGCTCTTGTTGTGCACTGTGTTTCCAGAAAGTAAGTAGAAGCAGAAACATGTAACATCCCAATCAGCGTCCTCAAGGGAAATGGAGCCTAGACTATAGACTTGGATACAAGTCCATAGGCATCCAAAATTATTACTTCCATAGAGGATGTATGTACCCTTTCTGCTGGGTGTTAACAGAACTGATACCCAGACAATATGGCAGCCACTTAAGTTCTGCTTGGGCCAGTTCCTGTTTTGGTTGGTGAGTGCTAAGGTCTTATTGACTTGTAAATATTTTGAATATCATTCCTAAGTCTCAGTAGAAAGATCTTTTCTGCCATTTCCAAACGGAGACTCAAACATAACATCACACCTAAGAGTTCTTAGTCCCTCCACATCAACAAATGCAGGAAAATGTGTGTAGTTATCTTTGCCCAGGACTCACCACAAGCTTGCTATTACCTCCCAGGCAAGGTCAGCACTTCCAGAGTAAACATGCACAAACTCATTATTGTTACTTACTTTAAGACATATGAGCCTACTTGAAGGAGAGATCATCCTAGGGCAAAGAAGAAACATAGGTGAGATCAGACACTGGGATCCTTTAGTTCCTCTAATTAAAATATGCCTCAGGTCCCTGGCTTCTTGGGTTCAAGGAAACCTGAGCAAGTCTCCCAAGAACACTTCAGAGGTGGAAAATTGAGGCTGTTTTTGTTTGTTTGCTTATGATGGGAAAGGAGAAGATGACTCCTTACATTAGTCTCCCTTTATTCAAGAAAGATATGTTCCAAGACCTTTAGTGCATGTCTGAAACCGCAGTATTTAATTTAATGCTTTTTCCATTTTGACTAAATAATTATCACTCATGTGGCATAACTTTTGTAATTTGAGTTGTGTCAACAAAACTAGTACGAATGTCTTTTTCCCCCTTCATAATTTCATGGGTCAAAGATTCTTTCTTATAGACCTTAGCAACCTCAGCCATATGATTTTTTTTTCTTTATTTCAGGCTGGGGTTGTAGCTCAGTAGTAGAGTGCTTGCCTTGCACACGTGAGCCCCTGGGTTCCATCCCCAGCACCACATAAAAATAAATAAATAAAATTAAAGATAGGGCTGGGGATGTGGCTCAAGAGGTAGCGCGCTCGCATGGCATGTGTGCGGCCCGGGTTCGATCCTCAGCACCACATACAAACAAAGATGTTGTGTCCGCCGAAAACTAAAAAATAAATATTAAAAAAAATTCTCTCTCTCTCTCTCTCTCTCTCTCTCTCTCTCTCTCTCTCTCTCTCCCTCCCCCACCCCTCTCTCTCTTTAAAATAAATAAATAAATAAATAAAGATATTGTGTCCATCTACAACTAAAAAAATATTTTTTTAAGAAAGAACTTTCACATTATATACCTAAAGGAAGCACTTTGAAGCTTCTCTTTGGCATATCTAAATTGCCAGCTTTATTACTTTTGTACTTTGGGGCTATTATTAAATAAAATAAGGGTTACTTGAACATAAGCATTGCAAGACCTTGACAGTCAATCTGATAACAAGATAGCTATTAAATGATTAACAGGTGGGTAAGCATACACAGCGTGCAAATGCTAAACACAGGGATAATTCACCTCCTGGACAGTAGTGAACAGAACAACGTGAGATTGCATTACACAACTCAGAGAAGTGTGCAGTTTAAAACTTCTGCATTGCTTATTTCTGGAATTTTCCATTTAATATTTTGGGATGGCAATTGACTGTAGATAATTGAAACTGCAGAAAGTCAAACTGTATAAGGGAGGACAACTGTACCACATTTCATAGAGAAAGCCAGTGAGAAGTTGGAGACAATTTGTGTCTTCAGCGGGCCCATCCCCCTGCACCCTGCTTAATTATCCACAGTAGCTGTGGAAGTCTGTGTAAGAGCCCCTACATTTGAGCCCCAGCTCTGCTACGCTGAAGCTATGTAACCTTGTAAGCAGCATTTCAGCTCTTGAATCCTCACTTTTCTCACTTGCCCTTCTACATTAAGGTCATACTGTGGTTCCTATTCACTTACAGTAGCTCGTCTCCTACCATTTGCCCCAAGTACACCAGCCCACTTTCTACTCCTCATTCCTCCCAATTCCCTGAACTCTCCTATACCTCTGAACCCATGCATGTTCTTTTCACTCTTTGGGATGCTTTCTACTCTTCTCTGGTTTAACAGTCAGCTCAACCTTCAACCGCCCCATACCATCCCTGTCGACTCCTGGCTGGGCAACTGAGTGCTTCCTCAGCTCCATTGCCATAGTACCCTGTCCCTGTATCCCTCTAATCCTGCATTTACCTGTGGCTTTTAACCCTTTACCAACAAATCACCCTCCCTCTTCACTAGGCTGTGAGAGTTCACAGTCTAATAGGGGAGAGAGAAGTGTCATTGGTTACAGAACACTGTGTCAAGTACTTGGCACAAAAGAGGTATTCCTGAAATGTTTCTGAACAAATAAGGGAATGAGCCAGACAACCTGTGAATGTTAACCATCCTTGTTATAGCTTAATCAACTCATGGTGCACATATTTATCTTCTAGATGTCAGCTTTCCTGTATTTCTCCAATGTGTGTTTGGTTCATTCCTGCTAAAGGCATGCCAGGCAGGTACTTCTAGATAAGAGGGAGCATAACCTTCCAAAATATGTGGGAGAACCGCAAACTAAGCAACCTCTTGTGTGGTGGCTGCAGATCGTGCCTCAGTGCAGTAAGAATTCTGCCTGTCTCAAGGTGATAATCACCACAGTAACCCTCCCGCTGTCAGTCATCTCCTCCCTGCCTCCCAACACAAAGGGAATAAGTAAATGGGGAAAAAAAACATGAAAAATAAATATCAGCAATGAAAAGAAATGGGAAATGTGAGGTGTAGGTGATATGCAAGTTTATTATGTCAATGAATATAACATGTTCCCATTCAGTGCTGAATTCCTATTACCGTATGGATTATTATTGGCATGTTCCTTATGGAAAGAGAAAGGGCACATCATTAGGGTGAGAGACAGTTTGGAGGCTATGAAAGTGCTGATCTGGTTTTGTTTTTATTCTAAATGGCATAGCAGTCTGACCACAGTCAGGTCGTCAGCTTCTCCTGACCTCGTTTTCCTCAAATGTAGGAAATCAAACCATGTGATGGCTAACTTTCTGCTATAGAATTCTGATTCTGGATACATTCAAGTTTATACTTGTTCATTAAAATAACATCTCATTCATATTATGATATTTTTCATGCTAAAGACTTACTCAGTGAGTGTTTTATTACATCTTTCGTGGAAGGTGGTTGACCAGGTGTTGGGGTGATAGAAAGATAAGTAGATGAGGTCCCTGCTTTCAAGGAGTTTATAATGTCGAAAGGAGACATGTCTCTAAAATACAGGCAGAAATGTTGAAGGGCGTCAGAAGGATATAGCTAAATAAATGCTGTGAATGTTCAGAAGACTTCTTTGAGGATGTATCACTTTAGCTGGGCACTAAAAAGGATGAAAGGACTTAGAAATACGGAGAGAGGAACAGTTTGGAGAGTCAATGTGGAGAGAACAGTGGGAGTCAAAGCTTGAAGGCAGAATTACACAGATTGTTTAGAGAAGAACAAGGAGTCCAGTTTCAAACAAGGCGTTCATAAAGAGGTAGAAGGAAAGTCTGAGAAATAGGATGTGACAGGATTGTGGGTGGGTGCTAAGTGCGGGGCTAGGGAATGTGGTTGTGGCGTCTGTGTTTACAAAGAGTTGTAAGAGCAGAGTTCCTGATGACCACTCATTTTAAGCCAAGCATCTGCTAGGCCGCTGTCTTGTTCCTGTGTTCCCAAAGGTCCCTGCATCTGTTTCATAATTTTTTTTTTTTTTTTTTAGATACTGGTGATTCTTAGATTTTTAGAGCAGAACACAAAGTTGTTATATCCAAAGCTTTTATTTTATAAATGAAGGGACTGAGATAAACAGAACTTTGGAGACCATTTATTTAATCAGCAACAGAGCAAAAGCTGTTCAGATTCTCTGGTTGTTGGTCCAGCCCCTTCTTGGCATTCCTCCAATAGAAGTCACTGTTTTTAACCAAAAATCACATCAAGAGGAAGTAGGAGAGAAAGGTCCACACTAGGAGGTAGAAATGGAGTTTAGTTTTCTTTCACCAGTTTTCTCTGTGATCTTGGACAAAAAGACATGGATTCAAGTTCCAAACCTCTGAAGTAATATAATAAACTTCCTTGTTATGTTGAAGAAGTTTGGAGATGAATAGAACCGTGTTTGTTAAAATCCTTCCACATTTATAAATGCCTATACCAACATAAGAAACTCTTATCTTCAGAAACACTCTTTTCGATTTCCGAATGTATAATAAATCAGCAACACACACATACTCCTCACCTTCTTGTTTAACACATAGTGATTACTTGTTACCCTTTGTAGACCTCTCCCAATGTACTTCCAGGATCTTTTAGAGCTGGAAACTAGAGATATAGTTGATCAATGCCATCTCGATGTTCATTTCACATTCAGACCTGGGCTTGAGTTAGGAGGAGGAGCTGAAGGGTCAGAACTATTTGCCCTGCACTGTGCCTGCTTCAGCGTTTCCACAGGGTATGACCCGATAAGTTGGGATTAAACAAGTAGGGTTTTTTTTCTTAAAGGAGAAAAGAGTCTTCCATTTACTTTCACTGGGTTTAAATGAAGAGTAGTAAGTCTTCCTATGTAGAACAAGCCTAATGTTCTTATCAGTAAATCTTCAAAGGAATCTTCAGTCAATCTTATCAGGGGGATCTTTTAAGATAGAAGGAACTCAGGTCATCCCAACCAGTCTTTAATGCAGAGATACCCTCCTACAGCTTCCCTGGGAATTCGTTCTACTCCCACGTATGCTCAAATCTGCACCAACAACTGGGAGCTCACTACCTATGAAGTAGCTCATGCTCTAGATGTTAGAAAATGATTTTATATTCCTGAATTCCTCCCTCCCTATGACTTCAGCCTACTGTGCCTAGTTCTACCTTTAAGAAGAAAAATCAATCACTTCCCTCTCCTCTTTCACGTGTCAGCTTTCCTTAAATCTGAAGCCAACTCTCATCTTCCTCTAAGTCTTCTCTATCATCCTCCTAGTCAATCACCTCTAATGATTTCTGATTCTTCCTAACCTATGTTCCCAGACATTGAGTGTCACACTCCAGACTAGGCCTGATTCATGCCAAAAGCATGATACATTGGTCCTACAGTGGGGATCATAGGCTTTACATTCAAACAGAGCTTACAAATCTGTTTTCGTAGATTTATCTTGCTTGTTGAATTTTGGACCAGCTGATTGGCAGTTACTATCTCATGTGGATGGATGGACAGCCACCTCATCAGTTCTCTTGTTCAAATGACTGGAATAACTCTAAATATCCGCTAGAGAGCCCTAAATCAATGCCTCACCAAGCAAAGCTCATCATCTTTCTCCAGTAGAGCTCCCAGTTTTATCAATGCTGCTATTGTTCTCCTGAATGACTTGAGCTCAAGGCTTTTTTTCATCTTTGAGTCTTCCCTTCTTATTTTAGCCTAAGCCTCATCTAGTCTCCCTCAGTGCCTCCATAGTCTTATTTCCGTTCTCACTGCCATTGCTCCAGGTCAGGGCCCCATATCCTTGACCTGGATTGTTGCAGCAGTCTCTTAGCTGGGCTTTCTGCTCTAGTCACCACACCTCATTCAACCCAATAGTTTTCTCCAAGTTCCAGTGCTCCTCATTTGCAATTTAATATGTGCTTTCATCTCTTACTATTTGCCCTATTTGTTTATAGTCTGTTTTTCAAGGCTGTTTGGTTGGTTGTTGTGCAGTACTGGGGATAGAATCCAGGGGCCCTCTACCACTGAGCTACATCCCCAATCCTTTCTTTTTATTTTTTTATTTTGAGACAGGGTCTTGCTGAGAGTTACCAAACCTGCCCTTGAACTTGAGATCTTCCTGCCTCTATCCTCCAAGTTACTAGGATAACAGGCATGTTACTCCTAAGCCCAGCTCTATTTTTCAAGTTTTAAAGACTAGTGCATCTCTTTGTAACTACAGCAAACAGATATAAAGAAGGCCTTTAATAAACATTTCATGTTAAGAACAATAACAATGAGGTGAAAATATTTTTTAATAAAAGGCACTTTAGAAAAACACTAGTGCCAAAAAGATGGGGAAGTATCTAAGTTAAAATAACAATAACAGCAGCAGTGATAATATTGACATTTGAGCCACTTGCCATCTCTAATAGGCATTTTAGAATTCTGCTCCCAAAACTCAACTCCTTCTGGATCTTCTCAAACTCCTCAATTTACAACTCTATAATAGTCTTCCCTCATGTTGGTAAATATTCCCTCCACTCTTCCGGTTGCTCCCCAGTCAGAACATGTGGGATCATCCCTGATTCCACCTTTCTTTCATACTCCACAATCTATCAGCAAAACTTTCAGCTCTTTCTTTGACATATCACCACTTCTCACCACCTTCACCTCTACCACCCTGGTCCAGGCTAGTATTTCCCATCTGGATTATTACAATACCCTTCCAACTAGTTTTCCTTCTTTTCTTTTGCCCAGCTATCCATTCTGCATGCTCCTGCTGAACACCATCCAGTAGCTTCACATGTCACTTAGAACCAAAGCTGAACTCTTCACCATAGCCTCCTGGGTCTTGCATAGTCTGGTCCATCCACCTCTCTGACCACTCACTCACTGGACTTCAGCCATGCTAGTCTTTCACTGCTTCTCAGAAGTCCCAGGCATGTTCCAACCTCAGAGCCTTATACCTCCAGTTCCCACTGTCTGGAATGTGGGCCTGCCCTCCCCCACCACCTACACACTCTTTCCTCAGATTTCTGTGAAAATATCTTCTTATAATGAAGACCTTCACTAACCATACCAAGTAAATCAGTCCTACAGTCTTCATTCCTATTGCTTTACATCTTTCTTAAGCCGCTCTTTTCTTTTTCAAATCACACATTACCATCTGCCATATTGTGTTTGTGGATTTATTGTCTGACCTTCTCTATGAGAATGTAGCCTCTGGAGTGGTAGGGACTTTGTTTCGTTCCTTTGCAGTATCCCTAGCTCCTAGAACAGGAACTAGCATACAGCAGGAGCTCAATAAGTATTTGATGACTACCTCAATGAATGAATGCATGAACCTGGGTTTATCTAATTCCATAATTTATATTCACCCTCCATATGCAATGACTAGATGCCCACCCTGTTTCTCCTTGTACACATTTTTCAATCAGTTCTGTTAATTTGCACTTAATAAATCTTGAGTAAATCTGATTTCTTTTCAGAATCAGCATTCGGGCTTTTACTCAGCTGTTTGATGAAGACCTGAAAGAATTCACAAAGCCACTCTATTCTGACACATTTTTCTCTTTGCCTATCACCACTGAGTCAGGTAAGGCTAACCTTTCCATCCACCCCTGTGTTCTGCCAGCCACTGTGTCACCTGTAGGGGGAGAGCTGGTGACTTTCCTGATTGGTAGGAGGAACATTATTTTCACATGGAACTTTATCTTTGATGATCATGAGCTGATGTGGATTAGGGAGATTGCACAACTTCTGTGGGAGACCAACCTAGATAAGAAGATGCACTACAAGATTTTTTTTCTATTAGGGTTAGAAGAAATTTGTTTGTTTTTTTTAAAAAAAGAAAAAACAGCAATTGAAAAACATTAAAATAAAGATCTAGTCCAGGCCAAAATGTAAATTGGTATGAAAGGCTTTCTGTTATGATTAGAAATGTATATATGCACATACAGTCAACCCTCTGAATTCATTGTGTATTGCAAATATTTTGGGGAAAAAGTTGTGTCTGTACTCAACATGTACAGAGATTTTCTTATCATTATTCCCTAAACAGTATAGTATAGAAACTATTGACAAAGCATTTATATTTTTACATATTGTAGAAATCTGGAGATGACTGAATGCATAGAGAGGAAGTGCACAGGTTATACACTACATCATTTTATATAAAGGACATGACCAACCATGAATTTTGATATCCTGACAGAAATGGCTCAGAACGAATCACCCTCAAAAACTGAGGAACACCTAGACATAGGAAAAAAGACTAGATAAAAAACAACAAAGTATTAATGACAAGCATCTCAAAGTAGTAGTGTTATGGGTGATTTTTCTTCATTTGCTCCTTACGTGTTATTTTTTCACTATTTAAAAATGTTAATTTAAAGAACTAGATGTTAAAAAATGATGTAGCTCCGTGATAGAATGCTAGCCTAGCATGCGTGAGGCCTTGGATTTAATTCCAAGCACCATGAAAAAAATAATAAAAATGTTAATTTTAAAAGGCTTTACATAAATTTATGAAAGAAACATCTTTGGTGTGCTCATGGGAAAGTCTCAATAATAAAATGGCTAGTATTTGCTGGGCACCTCCTCTGTGGAGCTGCGGTGTTAAGCATTCCACATAGAATAACTTGTCCAATCCTCACTACTGTCTTTTGAATTCACTGCTTTTATCATCTCCATTTTAAAGGTGAGGACTTGAGGCTCCAAGAGCTCAGTAACTTGCCCAAGATGGCACGGCTGTGCTTCCAGCCCTTTCCTCCTGAGCACACAGCCTCTGCACTGCACTGTCTCGGAATATTTCCATCATGCTGAGAATAGCATCTCTTTCATCACCTTGTTCCTTGACACCATTGTCTGTCCCAGCTTTCCCGTGGGTGGCCCGTGTGCTACAGTGCTGGTCTCTTGGTCTAGGGAAGTTCTTTAGAGCTGAAAGAGTCTCCCCTGCTGCATGACAAACGTAGCTCACCCCACAAACCTTCCTATCTATCTATGCCAAAGACAGGGATAATCTTCCACTTTTCAGACCAAAGAAGGATCAAAACCCAGCTAAGAGGATTTTGATGTATTCACTTATAATTTGATGTTAAGTCAGGACTCTGTAAACGTAATTCTTTCCCATGTGAAATATTTTTAGACAACAGAAATTTTATGTAATCCAGTAAAGGAATACACTATACATGCATTCAAAATAGAATATTAAGCATATTAAAAGAAAGATTATTGCATTGATTTGATGAGTATTGAAAAGCAACATGAGATAATAAATCCAAGGTCTTAAAATGTAACTCCAAAAACAGGCTACTCTATAGACCTAAATGTGAGAGATAAACATTAACACATTTAAAAGAAAACATGGAAGTAAATTATGTGACCTTGAGTTAAAAAATTATTTCTCAGATATAAAAACAATGCAACAAAAGAAAAAGTAAATGTATTGGAGTTAACCGCAAAGACTTTCAATGCTTGAAAGAACACCATCAAGTGAAAAGACAACCCACAAATGGAGAAAATATTTGTAAATCATATACCTGATAAGGATTGAGAATTCAAAATACACAAAGAACTCTTAACCTACAACTCATTAATAAAGAGACAAGTAGCACAACTTAAATATGGCAAAGGAGCTGAGTAGAAATTTGCACAAAGATGTGCAAATGGCCAGTAAGTATTGGAAAAGACATTTAACATCTTTAGTCATTAGGGAAATGCAAATCAAAGCAACAATAAGACACTTCATAATCACTAGAACATTAATAATCAAAAAGACAATAGTGAGAATATGGAGAATTGGAACCCTCAAATGTTGCTTGTGGAAATGATAAATGTATATGTAGGTGTGGGGTGAGGATATATCTCTGTTAGTAGAGAGTTCACCTAGCATGTGAAAAACCCTGGACCCACACACACACAAAAAAAACTAACAACAGCCAAAAAAAAAAAAAAACTGATATATCCATATGATGAGAAAATTATTTATCCATTAAAAAGAATGAAATATTCCTATATGCTATTTGGTTGAATCCTGAACACATTATGCTAAGTGGAAGAAGCCAATCACAAAAGGCTACACATTTATGATTCCTGTTTATATGAAATGTCCAGAATAGGCAAATCCATAGACATTGAAAGTAGAGTACTGGTTGCCAGGGCCTGGGAAAGAGGAATGGGAGTGACTGCTAATAGACATGGGGTTTTCTTTTGGAGTTGATAAAAAATATGTTAAATTTATTGTGGTGATATTTTAAAAACTCTTATGTGACTACTAAAAGCTATTGAATAGTACAATTTAAATGAGTGAATTATTTGGTGTGTAAATTATATTTCAATAAAACTGTAAAAAATATAGGAATGTAGCTCAGTGGTAGAGCATTGTCTAGCATTCACAAGGCCTTTTGTTCAAACCCCAGCATGGTCAGGGGAAGAGCAGTGAGAGCCGGGGCAAGCTGGGTCAAGAGTACATACCTGTAGTCCTAGCTACTCAGGAGGCTAAGGCAAGAAAATTGCTTGAACCCAGAAGTTCAAGGCCAGATTGGCAACATCAAGAGACTTGCCTTGAAAGAAAAACAAAAACAAACAAGCAAACAAAATAGGAGTTTACCTATTCATAAACTCCCAGTGGCAATATCATACAAGATAATGAGATTGTGTTAAAATAATTTCAGAGCAATTCTCTGGATTTGTTAAAGCCCCCGATGCTCTATAGCATGATTCCTGTAAATGAAATCGCATCTTTATCTGGGTGACAAACATGTGGCTTTTATCTCAGGTGCTCCAAGCTTCAGATAAAACAGAAATTCCAAAATTCCTTAATAAGCCGTGTATCATTAACTTCAAAAGTTAATGAACTTTTCCCTTAACTTGTCTGCCTGTGACAGGCAGGGTAGTAGCCAACATTTCTTCTATTTCACCTTCTCAGGTGCATATTTGAATTATACTTGTGATATCATTCCCTGGAAATAGCCTCCATAGCTCTCTTTTTTTATTCTAATTTGTTATATATGTCAGCAGAATGCATTTCAATTCATGTTACACACATAGAGCACAATTCTTCATGTCTCTGGTTGTATACAAAGCAGAGTCACACCATTTGTATCTTCATATATGTACCTAGGGTAATGATGTGCATCTCATTCCATCATCTTTCCTACCCCTATGCCCTCTCCCTTCCCCTCCATCCCCTTTGCCCAATCTAAAGTTCCTCCATTCCTTCCATGCTCCACCCCCGCTGCCCCCATCCGGTCCCCATTATGGATCAGCATCCTCATATCAGAGAAAACATTTGGCATTTGGTTTTTGGGGATTGGGTTACGTAGCTCTTTTATTGGTTCCCCTACACTGATTTTCCCACCTGGCTGTGTTCTTTCCATCCGGATTACTGCAGAGCCCTTGTTTGGAGTCATTGAAGGTGTGAGTGCTGGCCTGTTTTTAATTGGCATGTTGGTGGCTCTCGTTGCCTTCTTCATCTGCAGACGGAAAACAAGGTAAGTCAAAGAACCCTTTGGTGACCGGGCCCACAGTTTCAGAGATGCAACTGAAAATACGCTTGAGCTTGAACAGTAAGAAGGAGAAATAATTTCCCCAGGTTAAATCTCCATTGTTTTCTCAGTAAAAACAAAAGTCAAAACGTAAAATAACAACTCCCTTTTTCATCCTCCTCCACCGCCATGTACCATTGATGAATTTGACCCTTAGTAGTATTTAAATATGAAATAACTCATTTTGCAAAGAATAATTTTTTTGTTGGTTCATATCCTCGTGAAGACAGAGATTTTGCCAATTGCATGCCCAAGCTCTTTTCTGAAATATCCTGAAAAATCTGGTTGACAACACCATTTCATGGCTCGTATCTGCCATCCTAATTTAAGAAGAAGCCAAAAAGAAGAAAATAGCATGTGGCCCCAATGCCACGTCCTCTTCTTTTGGTGATTTTTTTTTTTTTTAATATGGCACAATGTGCTCTCTTGTAGTTATGTCTGGCATTTATGGTTTACTGGTTTGGGAATTTTTTATTTTTTAAGAAAAGATTTATTGAGAGTGTAGGAAGTGATTATGACCCGTAGCCAAAAACCAGGAGGCAGAGATCTTCAGTTATTATAGAGATCCGTTTCTAAGTGAGAAAGATCCACTTTTTAATGTTCTTCCTCCCCTGTTCCTCCCTCAAAGAGATGTTGGCTGAGTGCAAAGATACATGAATACTGAAAAATCTACATTTGCTCAAACATGCACAGCCTTACCATAAATGGGGAAAAAAAATTGTTCAAATCAAGAATGATCAGACTAAAAATCTTTTGCCTTACATTTCAGCCATGGTCGAGAAAGGCCCTCTGCCCGCCTGAGCATTCGTAGGGATCGACCATTATCTGTCCACTTGAATCTGGGCCAGAAAGGGTAAGTGACACATTTTCTTTTATTTAATTTATTGAAAAGTGGCGTTGTGTGAGATTTGCTAACAAGGCCTTTCTTCTTTTGGCTTCTTCACAGTAACCGGAAAACTTCTTGGTAAGAGAGAACACATTAATTACTTTATTATTTGCTTTTAAAATACAATGCAGGCTGGTTATAGCATTTCCTCTTTTCTTCAGTAATTCTCTTTTTCTGTTTGTTTCTACAGCCCCATAAAAGTAAATCAGTTTGAAGGGCATTTCATGAAGCTGCAGGCTGACTCCAACTACCTTCTATCCAAGGAATATGAGGTACTACTTAGGTGCCACGAAGCCTTAACACCCCTGGTTCTTAGCAGAATATCCTTTTTTTTTTTTATTGGTTGTTCAAAACATTACAAAGCTCTTGACATATCATATTTCATACATTTGATTCAAGTGGGTTATGAACTCCCATTTTTTACCCCGTATTATATCCTTTCTGACCTTTACTGTGGAATCAGAGGCTGATTGGACTTGGGAGTTACAATGATACTTAGGGTCCCAGCTGAGTGTTTTTGTGATTGAAACCATTCCCTGCACAATAAACCACCTAATCTCAGAGTTCCAGAATAGCACAGCAAACCAAGTGCTACCAGGATCAGATGGTAAGGAAGAATTAACAAATGTCAAATGCAAAACCTAAAACCATCCGTTATCCAGTCTGGCCATTTGCTTGCCTGGAAAACAATGTGGTTTGGCAAAAAAGTGTTCAGGCTTTGGATTTGATTTCCAGTTTTGCCACTTGCGTGACCTAAAGTACATTAGTTATCCTGTCTAAGCCTCATCTGTAAGATGGTGATAAGAATATTCCCATTTGGAGCTATTGAAGGGATCAGAGATAGTGCACGGAGAATACTAGGCATTCTACAAGCAGTAATAAGCATACTAGTGTATGTGTTTTTATATTATTATCAATCTCAAAGTCTGTTATTCTTTTTCACATTTTCCACTTTCAAACTTATTTCTGACGCAATAGGACTTAAAAGACGTGGGTCGAAACCAGTCGTGTGACATCGCACTCTTGCCGGAAAATAGAGGGAAAAATCGATACAACAATATATTGCCCTGTAAGTTTTGTGTTGAAATTTGTGACACTGTCTGCCTCTAGCCATTTCTGCTCTTTTCCAAGAATAAAACGAGGCTAAAGAAATATGGCAGAACTGGAAATGGAGGATCTCAGGCTCCGGATGACTTTAATAAGGAATGACTTGCATGTTACTGCACTTTTCTCCAGAAGGATAACTACCAGCTTCAATTCTGGTTCTGAGGATACTCTGCTGCTGCTGTGATTTCTTGTGGACCTGCTATTTCTCCTTCATGGCTGAGAGTAGCAGTGGAGTTAACAGCAGGGCTCTGACATCAAGTTGATCTAGGTTTTCTTAGCAAAATCTCTAGTTCACAGTTTTTATAAAAAATTATCCTGACTGCACTAGGTAAAGGAACAGAAGGTAATCTTTCTGGATTGTATTTACTCCATCAGTGAAAGGGAACTGGCCACTCCAGTTTGGCAAGTGTCATTAACATTGCAAAGGAAGGTACAGTTGAGGCTACATATTGTCTCCTGTGCCACCTGTGCAACATGGGGCAGGTTAGTTATCATGTCTGAGCCTCACCTGTAAAATGGAGATTAAAAACACCTCCTTATGACTGTTGTGGAGATCAGAGATAAGAGACATCAGATACCATATGCTACAAAAAAAAAAAAAAAAAGCCACCCCAGCATGTAGCAACAAATCTCTCAACAAACTTCCTTCCAGATGATGCCTCAAGAGTGAAGCTGTCCAACGTAGATGATGACCCGTGCTCTGACTACATCAATGCCAGCTATGTCCCAGTAAGTAGCCACTAACCACGAGATGAAGCTTTAACAGGTAGCTATACTGGAAATACCTCTCCTCCTGCATGTTCCCACTGCCCTCAGGTCTGGAAACATTTTTAGATTTGTAGAAGACCATGTCTGATTGCCATAAAATGCAGGCAATTCAATTCAATCACTGCTGAGCCCCATTTTTCACAATGGCCATAGTAATATGCAATGACCGTCCACCCAGGATACATTTCCAATGGTTGTTTTCTCTGTCCCCCTTTGACAAGATCCATGGAAGATGGACCTCCACTGCTAAGGCTGTCTTACTAGGGAAGTCAGTCTTGTTATTTGAATTTCTGAAAACCACAGACACACCTCAAAGGTTGTGTCAAACTTTTGGACTTTGATCCTGGCTAGCATCTTGCCAACTTACATTGCAGCAGAAGAAGTTCTAAGCGTCAAATTTGAATCCCACTTCTATCCCTTGCTGGTTTACCAGGTCTCCATTTCCTTTTCTGAAAACTTAGGGTAATTATATTTCCTTCAAAAATCATTCATTCACTCAATAAGCACCAATTAGTTAAGTGCTAACTGTAGGTCAAACACTGAGCTGTGTACAAGGATGAGATCCCGACCCTAAAGGAACTACCAGGACAGGAAAATACAAGGCAGTGCCAGTAGAAACTGGTAGAGCTGTGCCTCTCCACCATCACCATATATCAGCACCATCCAGGGATCTTGTTAAAAGTCAGAATGAGTCAGCAGCACTGAGGTGGCGCCTGGGATTCTGCCTTTCTGACAAGGTCCTGTGTGATCCCATTGCTGGTGGCCAGAGGAGCACTCTTTGAATAGTGAGAGGGTAGAGGTTGCCACAGATCATCAAAGAGGAGAATATCACCCAGCTGAGAAAAAGAGAAAGGAAGCTCAGTGGAGCGGACCAACCTGCTAAGGATACGTAGGGATAGTCAGATGAGAAGCAGTGTTTGGTGGGTTGGGTTCCCAGTGGCAGAGGTGACAGAACATGGAGACCCTGTAGATAGATGAGGAGAGAAAGCAAGTTTAACCAAGATTTACAGGTAATTCTGCATTGCTGGGAGTGCAGGATGAGTGGGAAGAAAGACCCTAGCTCATAGAATTATGGTTAGTATTAGTATAGTATTAGTATAGTTAGTATAGTGTCTGTGGAAGTCCTGACCCACAGCACACTGTTTGGTGGAACTGCGACAAATAAATAGTGGTTAAGCTTCTCTTGCATAGCTGGGAGCAGTGATATGAACCTGTCACCTCAGCAACTCAGGAGGCTGAGGCAGAAGGATAGCAAGTTTGAGGCCAGGCTGAGCAACTTAGAGAGACCATGTCTAAAAAAAAAAGAAGAAGAAGAAGAGGAAGAGGAAGAAGAGGAGAAGAAGAAGAGGAAGAAGAAGAGGAGGAAGAGGAAGAAGAGGAAGGAAGAAGAAAGAAGAAGAGAAAAGAAAAAGGGCTTGGGATCTAGCTTAGTGGTAGAGTGCCCTGGGTTCAGTCACCAGGGAGACACACCACACACACAGAAATCTTCTCCTTCGTGACATCAAATTATTGTATTATCAATTATCCCAAATATCAAAAAGTCAGTTCCTCAAACAGTTTACACACACGCACACACAATCACATAATTGAGGTGAAGGGTTTTCGAGATCACTGCCTGAGTCCTCCATTTGCCTTTTAGAATAGACCCAGCCTGATTAAGGGAAGTTTAGCTCTTAACAATAGTTCAATGTTCTGGCCTTTGTCCTTCCTGCTTTCAAGCCTTGACACTTGTGTAAGTATCTTTCTCTGGAGTCAGGGTCCTGGCAGAGACCTCCAGATCATCTGATCTGCAGAGCTGACTCTTTGTTTACAGTTCTGAAGAAGCCCATTGTTCCCAGCTTTTCCATATTGTAAATTCATCCACAGGGCAACAACTTCAGAAGAGAATACATCGCTACTCAGGGACCGCTTCCTGGCACCAAGGATGACTTCTGGAAAATGGTGTGGGAACAGAACGTTCACAACATTGTCATGGTGACCCAGTGTGTTGAGAAGGGCCGGGTGAGTGAACAGCCGCCCTGACTTCCCACCTTTGCTTTTCGCCATCCAGATGGAATTCACACCTGCCCCCATCCGGACCCCAATCCTAAGCTGTACCCCATGAAACAAAATGCAGATGCTTGAGAATGTTGCTAGTTAATTAAGCCACTCAGTTGTGAAAGGCTCTAACGGGAAATCCAGGTGATTCCAGTTCTTGTTCTGGGCCTGAAGTTTCTGTCAAAGCTTTCTCCCCGTGAGGACTGGGATTGTCAGAAGTGGCCATGACACTGTCAGTAAGAGTGCCTAGCCTCATCTGCTCCATCCTTGGGAGCACAGCTAGGGAAGAGAGACTGCAAGAGTCAAGGGGCCTGTCCCTGCTCTCAAGAAAGAAGTAGGCTGTGTCAACAGAGGCAAAGCAAAAAGTATCTGGACAAATCATGCAAACCTCTTATACAGCACTTAGATTCCTCTACTTTATATGGTTGATTTTAGGATTAAAAGAGAAATCACATATGAAGTACTTAATAAATACACGTTGGATTTCCAAATGTCTCTTAGATCATTCATGCTGCAGTGAGACATGTATGTCCTCAGCAAAACTAGCTTAGTTTAATATAGAGACACATATTAACTATGTGCTTAATGGGACAACTAAAATATGTATGTGACCATATAAATATGTTTGTATGTAAAACCTAGAAATGTATTCTATCTTTACACCTGGGATGGCTTATCATAATTACTAGAATAAAAGCCACGTGCACAGTATTCAATATACATATCTTCATACACAAATACATAGTCCTAACAAATGCACATAACTTACAAAACATCCATTTACAAATAAATGTATAAATACTCCCAGACAAAATGCAAAAATAAATAAATAGTGTCCACAGTCCCCTCTCTCCTTTCTTTGCATATGAAAAGACAAGCTTAGCTAACAATTCGGACTTCTCAAAGATCTCTTGGCACATGGCCCAAGCTAGAAAATTGATAAAAATATGAACAAAACAGAGCCAGGAAGACAATGCCTTCCCCTGCTTGACTGGATCATTCTTCAAAAAGAGCAGTAAATAAATTGTAAGTCCTGGTTTATCTGCTAGTGGGACTGGAATGCGGAAGAAATCGATAATAAGAAAAAAAACCTCGAGCCACAAAACACTGTGCTGGAGAGGTAAAGGAATCCAGGTGGGATGGGGAGCGCTTTGTGCAACGTCTCCCCGTCCCTTGGAGCAGTCGCCCATCTTCAGTACTGACCTTGAGCAGGTTAATTGCTCCAATTGTTTTAGATCCTAACTCAGGCATTTAGAGGAGGGAAAGTCCAGTTTCTCACGGGAGTTGTTTCCCAACTCACTTTTTTTCCTGTCTTCTTCTTCTAGGTAAAGTGTGATCATTACTGGCCAGCGGATCAGGACTCCCTCTACTATGGGGACCTCATCCTGCAGATGCTCTCAGAGTCGGTGCTGCCTGAGTGGACCATCAGGGAGTTTAAGATATGCAGTGTACGTTAGTTTGCTTCACTTCATTCAGTCACTCCACTTGGAAAGATGGAGATCTGTGAATCTTAACTTTTGTGGGTTCCTCTTTAGCTATAGTTTCAGCCCACAGACGACGTTCTCACATGGCACAGTTGTCAAATTTGAGTCTGCAGCGGGCCGTTCCTCTGATTATCCTGCTCTCTGCTCTTATAGGAGGAGCAGCTTGATGCAAACAGACTCATCCGTCACTTTCACTATACAGTGTGGCCAGACCACGGAGTCCCAGAGACCACCCAGTCCCTCATCCAGTTTGTGAGAACTGTCAGGGACTACATCAATAGGACTCCAGGTGCTGGGCCCACCGTGGTGCACTGCAGGTATGTGACAACCTAGGAGACAGTACAAAGGCATCCCTGAAAGGACTGTGCCCCAGAGTCTGACAAAGGGCACAAACATGGGGAATGTGGTGGGTGGAAGGTGTGTCTGAGCCAGCCAACCTATCAGCCCCGGGAGGATTTCTTACGTCCTTCTTCCTTCTGCTGCCCAACCTCATTCCTCTTCACTGACTTCTCCTTTTCCATTTTCTTCACCTCCCACCTCTCTCTCCCTCACTTTCTATCCTGCTCTCTCCTTCTCTTTCCCTCTTGTTCCTTTTCCTACTGAATGAAATGCAAAATCCTTAAGTGATTTCCATGCTCTTCCCAAGGTCCAGCTCACCTTCAGAGTTCGCAAGAACTCCCTTCCCACTCCAGCCAGAAGGCGACTGTACACACTTATCCTTGCCTCCTACCATCCTCACTCCTTGGAGTGGCTTCCTTTCTCTCCTCCACCTGTACTAACCTCACCAATCCTTCAAGAGCCCCTGATCTGGGCTCCATCCCTTTCTGGTAGCATGTCTTTATTGATGCTGCTATAACAAACCACCACAGACTGAGTAACTTATAAACAATAGAAATTTACTTATTGCGGCTCAGGAGGCTGGGAAGTCCAAGATCAAGGTGCTGACAGATTCAGTATTTTTGGAGGGTCCAGTCTGATTCCAAGATAGTGCCTCCCTGCTATGTCCTCCAGGAAGGAGGACAGGATTTGTCCTCACAGGAAGGAACAGAAAGGCAAAAAGACCTAGCTGTTGTCCTGCAGCCCTTTTTTATAAGAGACTAATCTCAACTATAAGGGTGGAGCCCTCAGGGCCTAAGCACCAGTTTAGGAGACACAAACCTTCCAGCCCCAGCATAGCACTTGCCATCTGCAGACCCAGTTTTGCTCTTAAATTTCTGTTCTATCTTCATTTCTCTTTGCTTCATATAGTCTGTCCGTAAAATAATCAACAAGTTTTCTCTCTTTCTCTCTCTCTCTCTCTCTCTGGGGAGCCTGGTGTTTAGCTAATTAATGTTTGCAACAACACTTTGATAGCCCTAACTGAATGGCACTAATAAATAAAGAGCCGGGGAATTGCTACAGTAAGAGAAATGTCAAGTGCACTAATTTTCTCCCAATCAGCACAACACCCCAGGAGCCCTGAGTTTATATATTATTGGAATGCCAACACTTTTAATGGGAATGTGAGGCACTCAAGGACTTCCTGCTTTCCGAAGAATGACAGGCATTTCATCCAGAATCATTAGAGAACTGTTCTTGTTTATCTGATTGTCAACCTACATAATAACCAGAGGGAAATTCTCCAAAGAATAATAATCTTTATCTGGGAACAGTGCAACATTGCCGTGGGAAATGTAGCATAGTAAACAATGGGTGTGTTCAAAGAGGTTGAGGCAAGGGAAAGTTTTAAAGCAAGAGAGAGAGATTTATATATGCTACTTGGACACAAAGTTCATTGGTCTTGGAGACCTGAGCAAGAGTTGGTATCAGCATTTGGTGGTCCTGTCCAGAGCTTCATATCTGAATTGCTGCGGGCTTAAAGAATATGATAAACCTTGTTACAAAATCGGTGCATACCTGAAAGGTAGGCAAAGCATCAGGTGCATGTCAACAAAAAGGAAATTCTTGTAGGGACTTAGAAAGTTCTTGAGGAAGAACATATCACTAATGGGCAGGCAGGAATTCTCCCCCTCATAACTTCCCAACTCTAATTTTGTCTGGGTTGATGAGAATAATTTCATCTTGCCATCAGCGACTTGCTCAGAATCGAAAACCCCCAGATTAAACAGCCACTTTGGGGAGCAATTTGGCAATCCCTGGCAAAGCTGCAAGTGTTGATACCCTATAACCAACCCAGCAGTTATTCTTCTAGCATAGGCCCTTGATTAGTCGCCACCTGTGTGCACAAAGATGTCCATTGCAACGGACTTTTTGATAGAGAAAAACTAAAAATGATCTCTAAACTAAAATTGTCTACCTATAAGGAATGGATCATCAATGGCTTATGAATTCTTATAGAATGATTAAATGAAATTAGATCTACAACGTGCACAAACTCAAAATACAATATGGAGTAGAAAAATTGACAAATGATACATAAAATGTGTTAGCATTTTAGTAAAATATTTGAAACATATAAAAGATATTATTTATGGATCTACATATATGTAGGAAAAGTATAAAAACAAACATGGACATGATACACACCAAATGCAGAATGGTACTTACCCTTGATGGGGTAGGGAATGGAGGAGGAGGAAGGGAAAAAAGAGATGGAATACTGGGACTCTAGGTAATGTTTCTCTGAAAGAAAGAAATATTCCTTATTCTCCCATGTCTTGGAAGAGAAAAGAAAGGTTGGGCCAGAGTCTCTGAGTTCAATCTTGAAAAGCCAATTTAATAAAAAGGCTGAATCTTCCTGCACATCTCTTCTAGTGCTGGTGTGGGTAGGACTGGAACCTTTATTGCGTTGGACCGAATCCTTCAGCAGTTAGACTCCAAAGACTCCGTGGACATTTATGGAGCTGTGCATGACCTAAGACTTCACAGGGTTCACATGGTCCAGACTGAGGTAAGAATTACAGGCTGAAGATACAGTGCACCCTTCTCCTGCCCCCTAAAACATCCAGGGCTCTCCTCTGACAAAGGGAAATAACTATGACACATGAGGAAGAGAAAGAGAAGTGAATATAGACATTTTCCAAGACTTGTTATTTTGTAACAAATCTCAGTGACCTTGAGGATAACGTATGCCCTTATTTTTACTGAGATGGTTGCTCTGCTCAGAAAAGAATTAATTTCAGTAGGTAGGAAGAAAGATGATTATTTTAAAAAACAGTGCATTATACATAGGGGAAAAGGCTAGGCCAACTCATCTTGGAACTCATGTTCAGATAGGCTGTATGAGCACAAGAACTTCATTAGTGAAGAGGAATAAGATTCCAATCTCTTCTCTACCCACCCACCTGACCAGCTCTACCTGCACCTGCATCTCTGGAGACACCAAGGGACTCTATGTACCTTGCTAAATGCTTCTATTTGTAAGCATTTTGACATTTGCAGATTACTTTTGAATATGTTATCCCATTAAATTTTCATAATACCAAGTAAAAAAGGTATTACATTCCATTTCCAGCCTAGAAAATTGAGGTCCAGATGCTTATGAGCTTTGCACAAAGCCCATAGATATGAGGCTACCACTCTGGCTTGGACCCTATTCTAGAAAATTCTGGGCCCTTGAGTATCAAGCCACAGCCTCAGGGTTAGCAGTTTGCCCCCCAACCCCCACCCCATATACCAAGCATGTCTTTCTCCAACATGAGCAACTTGCCAGGCTCAAGTTCTCTTACTCTTGGGTTTCCCAAGTTTTTCCTCAAGTATCTCTGCAAAAATTCTCTTTGTAAAAAAGAAAAATAAAAAAGATTCCCATGGATAAAAAGTTCTATCTACATGCTACTATCTCTCCTCTTAAGTCATAGTAAACATGGAAACTACACAGGCAGCAACGCTTAAAAATATGGGGGGATCCTGCAGCAGAGAGTCACTGTGGGCTTCATTAGCCCACTATTCCCCAAACCACTGTGTCCCCTGAATTCTTTTCTAACACAGCACATTTTAATGTCCAGCAGAACTCTCATTATGTCATTATTCAACAAAATACTGACGTCATTGCCTCCTGCAGACCGCACCCATTTCCCTGATCTCTGACTGTCCAGGCTGGAGAACAATCTATCCACTGTATCTTGAATATTGTATTATGAAATTGTTCAAAATTACACAGAACTGGGGTTGCGGGGTGTAGATCATCCATAGAATACTTGCTTGGTATGCACAAGGCACTGGATTGGATCTCTAGCACTGAAAAAAATAATGTCCACAAAACTAGAGAAATAGTATAAGGAGGTTTCATATGCCCAAACCCCAAACTTCTACAATTATCAGAATTCTGTGTTATTTTCTCGTCTATAGCCTACATACACTGTTCCCCTACCCTGTCCCCTTTAAAATAGTTTAAAGCAAATCCTGCTTATCATATTATGACCACCGCTGCATTTATTATACCTAATGATTTGAACTATAATTCCTAAATTTCATCTAATCAACACTTAAATGTCCCTAATTATCTTTTAGGAAAAAAAAATATTTCTTGTAAAGAAAAATAATACTAGCTGATTTTCATTAAAATCCAAATAAAGCCCACACATTTTATTTGGTTGTAGTTTCTTTAAAATCGTTCTTTAATCTATGATAATCCTCCCTCCCATGTCTTTTCCATGACATTTAGCCGTCAGGAAACCAGCTCATTTGTTCCGTAGATTTCCCACATTCTGGATGTGGCTAGTTGCTCCATGGGTATTGTGTTTGTTCCTTGTGATTTTTCACCAGCTGGTTGTTAAATCACCTGCTTTGAGGATGGTGTGAGCATTTGCTGTTGCCCCAGGTGACGGGGTAGATCATCTTGCCTATGTCTCGCTGTGGCACAGTCTAAACTAACAGTGGGTTCCTGGGCCATGGGCTGAGCCATTCATCATCAGGGTCCCCTTAACCTTTTGCTTAATGGCTTTAGCAGCCACTTATGATCACTATCTAACTCTAATTCATTAAGAGTTGAAAATTATATCTTCCTGTGTCAGAATTGTTATCATTCAGTGTTTTTCTCACGTGATCCAAGAAGGTAGGAACTTGTTTTCCTTCTCTATATCATCTTTTTTTAAAAAAAAAAAAAAAAAATCTATTCAGTGAGTGAGCAAATATCCCACAACTGGTTTGCTAAAAAGTCAGCCTCAGTATTTCATTATTAGTTTATTGTTGCTTCCACAAAATCTGACCATAATTAACTTGTAATTTGGGGGCAAAGAAGCTATCATGTTTTACATTTTAAATAATCTGAGAGCGCTGTGTGAGTGTGTGTGTGTGTGTGTGTGTGTGTGTGTGTGTGTGTGTGTTTTCAGGCTTCCTAGTTACTGTCTTCTTGGGCCATGTTCAGGAATTCCATCACAAATGACACTGGCTGATTTTCAGAGCAGAGGTAGCTGCAATGTGCCAAAGTTCTTCCTCCTCCTCCTCAGAAACAAGGCCTTCCTTTCCTGGTTCTCTCCTCCTCTCACCTCTCTGATGATTCTCTGGCTTTGCTTCTTAACTGGTCTTCTCAATGTTTGGGTTCCTCATAGTTCTATCCTCAAAGCATGGCTCTGTTTCTCTCAGTCTTCATTCTTTGTGATGTCATTCATTTTGAGTCTTCAAGAACCACACATGTGCTCCTTTCTCCCAAATCTAATGCTCCTTCCCTGGCCCTCACTTAAGGACCTACCTATCAGACAGTTCTACCTGGAGGCCTTATAGCCACCTCAAACTCAAAATGTTAATACTAAACTCTTTATCTTTTCTTGAAAACCAGAAACAACAGAGCAGCGTTCCTGCTCTTGTACCTTCCAATTGCCATTAATAGTGTTGCCACCCATGTGTCTGCCCAAGCCAGGGAGCAGACTTCTTTTCCTCCAGTTCCCACATCCAGGCGGTCAGGAAGCCCTGTCAGTTCCACCCAAGATCTTTCTCTTTGTTCTAGTCCCTCCCCTACTGCTACCCCTTGCTCAAACCAATGTTAACTCTGGATGGGCCTATTGTGGTGGCCTGTTACCTCCAAATGGGGCTCCTACCTCCAGCTTCTCCCTTAACAGCTCTTCATTACCACTGCCACTATCAAAGTTCCCTGGGGACCTTGTCAACTCCTGCATAAAAATCCTGAGAAGTTCCCATTGCTTGTAAATTGAACTTAAAATTCTTATCCTTATGCACAAACTTCTTTATAACCCGGCCCTGGCTTACTTCTCCAGCTTCATGTCTACCCATCTATTCTACATGATGTCCATGTAACAGATATCAATACCAGGTTCTGTTAAAATTAAGCAAGTTTTTCCTTCCTGGGCCAGAATGAACATTGTTTCTTTCAATCACGATGAAATAAACATTGCAGTAAGATAGGAATTTTCTTTTTCCCTTTTTGCCTGGTCAAACAAAATCCCAACAATATTCAATAATTTCTGTTTTGCTTGAAGTCTCTGCAAAAGTTGAACATTTTCTATAGTCTCTGAATCCCTGGGCCTCAAACTGAGCTGACTTACTTGGAAATGGAAACGGGTGCAGAAGGATTTAATCCACAAGTGAGCTCCAGGGAGGTAAACGGTTCCACAAAGGAGAAAGGACATTCTGAGCCCTTGTGTTATTTTTCTGGGTCCATGGTGACAGTTAACCTTGACATTCTTATATACTGGAAATTTGGGATGTAAAGGAATGCAGGTTGTCACAATTTTTAATGAATATATCAGACGGGATTTCTAAACAAATAGGTATTAGACAGGGGAGTTGCAAATGTGTTTCTCCTTTCAGCCTGCCTTGGGGCAAGTTTGCAGCCTGACTTTGAGAGAGATATGCAGACAGAGCAATAACTTGTTAAAGAACATTCATATCAGCTTCTCATGAGAAAGAAACACAGGGATGTTACAGGATTAAAGCTCCTAGATTCCATTTGGGGACTGTCTTGGAGGTTGCATGACCCATGTAATCTACAGCTCACCCATACCAGAATTTTGTTTCCAGAATATATATGCACTTTCATATTATTTCATCACTTGGAATGCCCTACTTGGTTCAAATTCTTACTAATGTCACCTTTTCTATCTAGCTTGATACTTTCCTCCCCCAAAAGAAAACTCAAGGGCTTCCTCTTCTATATGAAACTTTTCACACAATTCTATTTTATGTTTATCATCTTCTAGGTATTTGTTCACATGTCTGCCCTTCTGCTAAACTATGCACTCAGGAACCATGAAAGGTCAGACATATAATACTATAAATACTATCCAACACTACAAATACTGGTAAAATTGAATGGAACTGAATGTGTTAACGCCAAACCAAGGCTTTGCCAATTAACGTGACATAATTTTTCATGATTTGAGGTTCATCTATTAGAATTTTTTTTTTTTGCTTTTCATTAAGAATAAAGTGAGAAGCACATTAAAAATCTGACGGTTTCCGTAGTAATCATTTCCAAAGGGACACTCTATTGGGAAAAGAATTTATATTTAAGACAAGGCAAATAAATGGATATTAACTAGTTTCAAAGCCCACAGTGGACCATTGCTGAAGAATTTATTAATAGGCCATGGCATAGATATAATAGAGTTCATTCACAGTTTAGCTCTAAGGTCCCAAAATAATTTTACTCTCCCAGTAGAATTAAAAATAGGAATTATGTTTTGCATAAGAGGACACAATGAGATGTCAGTCTATAATTTTAAAACAGCAAAAAGTCTGTCTTGTTCCAACAACAATTCTCAGAATAGTTCTCTTCCTAAATTTTCAAGGTCAATATGGCATAAAACACTAATAAAAATGAGTAGGATCTGTGAGTTGAAAGGCAAAGAATAGTTATTAATATTTGTGCAGGCCTCATTTATGATTGATTTGGTTTTCCAATATGTCACAAGGTATTAATTATTCCAGACCTAAATTATAAAGTCCCATGAGAAGATGCCCAGACTGGCTTCTACCAATCCATAACAACAAGTACTGGTCCACTTTGAAAAATTGTTAGTGAGAGGAGATTTTTTTTTTTAGCCTTATTTTGTATCTCAAATCTTTTATTAATTATTATTGACTACATTGATTGCTTTAAACATGCGATCCAGAAATATTTTTCAGTATCCATGTAACAGACATCAATACCAGGTCTTTTTTTTTTTTTTTTTTTTGGAGGGGGAGCTACTGGGTCTTATACCCTTTAATGGAAGAAAAAAACAAAACAAAGATGTTATCTGTGGGGAGACTTTGGGCTCCTTGTTTTCTAGATGGAGAAACAGAGGCTGAGAAGCCTCACAGTTCAGCCAGGATCTGATAGAGGCTAAGCACCCAGTCTCCTCTGTGTGCTCCCCTCTTATCCTTCTCGCTCCCTGGGCTCTGAGCAATTGTCACATCATTAAGGGGAGCCCTAGGCCAAGCGCAAAGTCCACACAGACATCCTCTCCCTGCTCCATGCACAAATTGGTTGCCTGTGGCTGAGACACTGGTGTCAGTGGAAGACTTTAAAGTGTCTTCAGGCTCCAAAGCACCGACTTTTCTATATTTGTTTATGTTTCTAAAGTAGTTAATCCTCACATAACTGACAGGCGGGTCCTTCTCACTAGGTAACCCTCTGGGATTCTCTGCAGTCAGCCAGCATCTTTGAGATTCCTGCCTGAGCCAGACTTAGGTGCTGATTGAACAGAGCTGGACTAGAGGCTGACCTTGCAAGAACTGACATACCTCCTTTTTCTCACTGTGTCTGCAAAACAAGGGGGACAGAACAAGCATGCTGTGAAATTATCTTCTCATAAGAAAATCCGTGCAGTGAAAACATGAAGTTGGAGGCCCATACCCCTGGGTCAAATCTTAGGGCCCCATTTCTGAGCTGTGTGACCTTAGAGAAGTTAATGAACTTCTCAGTCTCAGTTTATATTGATAATTATATACTTGACAAGGTTGTTGAAATCATGAAATGACTATGAAGAGTGCATAGCTTATGTTTGGCGTTCATTCATCTATTTAATTCTCAAATTACCGATTGCCTAGACCTCGTTCTAGGTATTCACAGTACATGCTGTATCGATATGCATCATGTGAAAGAAATGAATAAACACCCTCTGCCCATTACCATTCTTCTCTTTTCAGTGGTTAAAAATTATTCCCTCTTTTATGTACCAAGGTGATGATCAAAAGATTTGCTAACTGTACAGAACCCTATCACTGTCAGTGTTTTGTGACAGCCCCTCCCCTTTCTTAGGCTTGAGAACAGGCCCTCCTCTGATTTTTGTTTTCTGCTTTTCCATAGTGTCAATACATATATCTACATCAGTGTGTAAGAGATGTCCTCAGAGCAAGGAAGCTACGGAGTGAACAAGAAAACCCCTTGTTTCCAATCTATGAAAATGTGAATCCAGAGTATCACAGAGGTAGGATCTTGTTCATTAGCTTTTAAGTCATTTTTCAATACTTAGTCAGTCTGGAAGTTGTTAATCACTTAAAGCTCTTTTGTTTCTTATTTTACCCAGAAAGTCCCCCTAAAAGAATGGCAACAGGGAGAAGAGGCACAGTTAGGAGAGTACTCCCACATTCCAGCAGCGATTCCAGGAAGTGTTTCTATCTCCCTAGCCCAGGATGCACTTTATTAAGGAATCAGTTTAACATTCCTTTTTCTAGCAATGAGCCTCACCCCCTGAGAAGGATGCATTGAAATCACAATGGAGAGTTCAAGTGGTAAAATTGTGTGGAGAAGAATTTGGCAATCAAGTAATCCGAATCCTTAATATGTTCTTATTTTGTAACACAGTACTTTTCCTGCCACCCTAAATTCAAAAAAAGCTTCGTGCATAAATCTTTTCACAGTTAAAAGTTTGAGTGGAAAACACTGTTTAACAAAGGACCGCATTAGATAGCTTTGCATTTAGCACAATGAAATACCTGAGGCAGCTGACTTTGTAAAGACAAAGGATTTAGTTAGCCCACATTTGGGGAGCTTCAAGGATATGGTGCTGCCATTGGCTCAATCCTGGGGAGGATCTCGTGGTAAATGGTGGATGGCAGTCACAGGAGTGCCTGACAAGAGCAAGCAGTCACATCGTAAGCTAGGAAGTGAGAGAGCTGGGTGGGGCCATCTTAGGCAACTATAACGACCTTTTCAAAAGAAGGAGTCCCCTGAGAACTAACTCCCAAAGGTCTAAGGACCCCAAGCTAGGCCCCACATCCCGAAAGTTCTACCACAGTATTTCCTAACACTGCCACCGTGCAGACCACTCCTTCAATCATAGTGGACCCTTGGTGGTGCAAACCATATTCAAACCACAGCAAGGACTAAATACCATGGTGTATCACTTCATAAAATAGGACGTTGGCATTAAGAATGAAGGGCTTGCCTGGCATGTGTGAGGCACTGGGTTCAACCGTCAGCACTGCATGAAGAAACAAAGCCCATCAACAACAAAAAGAAAAGAACAAAAAGCATGAAGGACTTAGGTTTGGCCTGGTGGTGAATGCCTATAACCAGATTCTTGGGAGACTGAGGCAGGAGAATGGCAAGTCTGAGGCCAGCCTCAACAACTTAGTGAGACCTTGTCTCACAACAAAAATAAAAAGGTCTGGGAATGTAGCTGGGGATATAACATGCCCCTGGAATCAATCTCCAGTACTGGAAAAAAAAGAAGGTCTTGGGTCATGGCTTAGTGATAGAGCACTTGCCTAATAAGGGTGAGGCCCTTGGTTTGATCTCCAGCACCGCAAAAGAAAAAGAAAAGTCAAGAGTTTTGGAGATAGAAATAGAGATAGAGATATATTTAGATGAACTCTCACTACATTGCCCACTGGCCTCCAACTCTAGGGCTCAAGCAACTCTTTTTCTTCAGCCTCCTGAATAGCTATGACTACAGGCATATACCACCTCACCTAGCTTAAGAATGTTATTTTTTAATATATTACAATAATATGGATATTCTTACAAATAAGTTGTCTTAGTCCATTTTGTATTGCTATAGCAAAATATCTGAGACTGTGTACTTTAAAAAGAGGATTGGGCCAGGGAGGTAGTTCAGTGATAGAGTACAGGCTTAGCATGCTCAAGTCTTCTCAGCATAGCACAAAAAAAAAAAAAAAAAGAAAGGGAAAGAAAGAGAAATGATTTTTATTTCACTCCTAATTCTTGAGGCTAAAAGTCCAAGATTGGGCAGACTCCATCTGTTCAGCCTCTGGTGGGGCTTCCTGGGTGCATCACAGCATGGCAATGTCATCACCTAGTGACAGGACATGTGATGGTGAAAAACATTATATGATGAGAAAGGGACCAAGAAGCTGGGGAGGAGCAAAGCTTAAAATAGCCTACTCTTGCAGGAACTAAGCCACTCTCACGAGGCCTAACCCACAGAGAGACCAGGATCAATCCCTTCACCATGGCAGTGAGGACCTGGTCATTCCTTCTAGACCCCACTAGTCCTTCCACCTTTCAGAATTGTTACCCTGGGGACCGAGCTTCCAAGACTTGAACCTTTTTGATGACAAACCACATCAAAACTATAGCATAAGTTAAATAATAGATGCAGAATGTAATACAAAAACAAAGCGTGAAGGGCAAGACCAGGAGAAAATGCAGTAGTAAAATACATTTCTCAGAACAATAGAAAAATATGTGATTTTTCTCTTCTGTTTTTATGTATATTCTAGAACAAGCATGGAACACTTCCAAATAAAAAAATTAGCAGAAAAAAAATTACAAGTACTTCTTTGATCAAACAATGACTGATTGCTAAGAGAATGGTTTTCATGCCTTGTCCGACTCTGGGCCTTCATTAATAATGACCTAAGTTATCGAATAGACTGATTGCAAATGTGAGCATGCATTATGTTGGTTAGATCTGTTTCTACCTACCAGCAACTTTCTCTCCAGGAGGACTGAGAGATACCTAAAATCAGATAATTTTCCTTTGATAAGCATTATTTCAGACCTGTCTTATCTTCATTTCTAAATGACCTTAAGTTGGCAATGCCTCTTAATGTCTTAATGTTTCTTTTATTGAGTCCTCTGTACCCGCTATACGAACCAGCTTGCCCATGTGTTGAATAGTTAGTTAATAATCCGTAAAGCACAAATAGAGACCTACTATTTAGAGGAGTCTTTGTAAATCAGATAATCTTTTGTATTATGAATAATTACCCCCTAATTTATCTGTATAGTAAATTATGGAGAACTCTCTGGGGGATCTTAGAGGTTCCTTTGTCTTGCTTTGATCTTTTGGAGACTTTTTTTTTTTTTTTTAGAACAGTCTTGGGCATGTCTAAAAGAAACTAACTATGGGATAAAATCACCACCATCTTGAAAGCTAAGATTTAGATCCTAGCATTAATGAGCTGGGTGGCCCTGAGTGAGTTACTTTGTCCCTCTGAGCCGGTAACTTTATCTGTAAAGCCAGAGGGTATGGACTAACATCACTCACCCCTTCCAAATCTGATAATCTATTTCCAAATGGAGTGACCTGGCCGTCCTCATCCTAAACCATGTAGAGCTTTAGTCATTTCCAGTAGCCCTCCGACTTGTCATTTTCACAAACAGAACGACAGTGACATCCACTGCTGCGGTCTCTAATCACCTTGTCCTCCCTTTCAGATGCAGTCTATTCAAGGCATTAAGAATGTACTCGAAGATCTCCTGGATAAAAAAATTTTCACTGTGTGATTTTGTTTTAAAAAAAATTTGCTTCTTGCCCTGCAGAGGTGCCAACTATTTCTGTCAATACTATGTATAATTTATTAATCTGGAGAATGTTAAAGAATTTATGTAATTTAAAGGTAACAGATATTATTGTACATAGTTGTATTTTGTAGTTTTTTCTGTAAATATGTATTTTTTCATAATGTTTAATATTAAGCTTTATATAATACTATTTTTTCACCCAAAAGTGTTCATGGCTTGTTCTACGTAAACCAATTCAACCTGTATGGCAGGATTACTGGTAAAATGGGCATGGAAGTGTTTGCAGAGAAAGATCCCTCGGGCTGTGTGTTTCTTACCTGCTGTAATATTCGCTGGACAGGATAAAGAGCAGGGACTAGAGAGAACATATAGCATGGCTAGCTTTGCTGCACTGCTGTCCCATGAATCTTGAAGTCCACGTATGATTCAGATGTTATTAGGATAAATAAAAGTCAAAACAGGATTAGGATAGCGGGAATAATTCTGTTTAGAGTGGATGCTTAGTATGCATTGATCATAAACATGAAAAAAAAGAAAAAATAAAGTACTAGGACAGGAATTTTTCAGATTCATGCATCAGACTGTACCAAAGCTGAGCTTTGTCATTTTGACTAAATGAGCTGCTCTTTGCTCTTGTTCCTGCCACAGATTCAAGCCCAAGTAGCCAGATCAGGGGTCTTGTGACTTTAGTACAAGCTCAGGCTGCAGGGTTGAGGGAATTCCTTGTGTTAAGAAGAATCTCAGCTGTACCCTGACTGGAAACAAAGCACACAAAACTCCATGCGTAGTAACTAGAGATTATTTTGCTGCATTCACAGTGTGGAACATGAACATGCTTACCTGTGCTGTAGTGTTGGCTTATGGACACACACTGGTCCTTGTCTTCTTTCCAGTGGTCTGCTTTCCTGGAGAGGTCATGTTTAGTTTTCCCATGAAAAGATTATGTTGGCAGATTATGCTCTTGGTCAAAGGATCTAATACCAACATTGTCATAGAAACTTCTATCAACATCATATATAGCTAATTAAAAAGCAAACAGCAACAAAAACAAAATTGCAGTGGTTTTTAGTGCAAATTTTTCCAAAAGATTTTTATAGTCGGTCAATGAAGTCAAAATTTCAAGTCACCTAAAGTTGCATTTAATATAAAAGGCCATACGTACTCTACCAAGTTAATCCTCAGTATTTGTGCCTTATTTTGATTATGACAAATTTCAGGGAGTCGGGAAGTGGGCATTGCCTTTATCAAGGTTCAGTTCTAAGAGCCTTTCTGGGAAAAATCATAAAAAAACTTTTTTTTTTGTCAAAGTATCTTGCTACTAACATAAATTTCCATTAATAGTATAACAAGTCTTATTGTGCCTAAAATATTTATATTTATATAACTCTGTACCCAACTTGGGAATTTTTCTGGGGTGATTTGAAGTATCGAAATAGAGGGACACTTCACAAGGATGAATGTGCAGAGTAACAAAAGGATTCAAAGTTTTCCCAGCTTCTTTGTGCCCTTGTAAAGTGACAGCATTAGGCTCTGATTCAGGATCAGGGAACTAAATAGCTACTCTAGGAAAGAAATGGAACAACGTTTGTGTTAAGTGAGGCAGATATGCACCGGGAGGGAAACAGAGGTCAGTAACTTAGGAGGTTTGATATTGATGAAGAATCATTTTATCTACACTATAAAGAAAAGCAAGAAGAAAACAAAACATTTTCAAACTAAGATTATTCTGTGCAAAGCACATTGATGCCTGAAGAGAGAAATTCATTTTTGACTTTTCACTCCTTCAGAAAACTTTTAGTAAGGGCCGGCAAACACTACCAGAATCTACATTTCTACCCACATTCATAGAACACATGGTAATAATAAAGTTAAGGCCATTGTCACCATTTTCATTTGAATTTAAAAGAGGACCTGGGCAAAGGACTGAGATTACTGAGCCAGTCTAGAGCAGTGGTCACCTTCCAGGAGCCTCTCTCTGGCAAGTAATGAGGCTGCTTCTGTAGCAACCACTGGATCCAAATGAGAGCAACTGACAGTGCGCAGCCCGGGAGTCACAGCCCTTAACAACCTACACATCTGTAACAGTAAATAACACACACCTGGCAACATCGGAGATGGAATCAGAGTTACAGAAATGAATACGAGGAGGGGAAGCTGTACTTTTTTTTTTTTTAGTCTAATCCAGGAAATATTGATTCCTACTCTACACCTAATTTTAAATCTCCTTAGCAACAAATATTACACTATTCCCTTTTGCTCCCAGGAAGACTAAATACGTAATATAGTTGATCTATTCATTAAATTTAAGAGAAGGGAAAAAAAAGACTTCCTTGACATTCAGCTCAATTGGATATATTTCCATTTAATTGCATCATGGGGCTGGTCTCAGCAAACATTCCGTTTCCTGTCTTGGTGGGCATCCTGTCTGTGCACCTGTGGGGTACACTTTAATCATCAAGGTTTCCAAGTGGTTTGGAGCTCTCAAATCTACGGAGAGTCCTGTCTTGCATCTTAATCATTATTTATCCAAGTTCCTTATAATTAACTCCTTTAATCTCTTCTCATTAAATCAATTTTGTATTATCATGAAGTCTTTCTCTGAAAAGCAGCCAGTTTTTCAGCTCTTGAATCAGTTCTTCAGAGATGTACTTCCCTGTCTGGGCTTGCACATATTTGTCCTAATAACTTCCCAACCCTTAGTCCTCTAAGCTCCATGGCTTGCCCCCTCTCCCTGTCAAATATGTTTGCTCTGCTGGTTGAATGTGATTTTTCCTTCTGTTCTTCTTAATGCTTTGTACCCATTGGTATAATTTTATAGGCTCCACGGTATAAAAGAGATAACCATGCTCTCATTTTCAAATACTGAAATGCGACAAAACAGTTTGGGATTTGTTTTTTGGCGGGGAGGGTCTTTAATTAATTTTGTTATTACCTCCTGGAAGAAAGCCCAAAATGACATGAAAAAAATAATATGAAGCCATTTAGCAGAGAATCCAGTTTCCTAATTAAATACTCTCCTTACCCTTTGTAACAAAATTATCTGCCATCTACCAAATTCTTGTTCACTTAGCTGTCTGGGAATTCCTTGAGGTTGGAATCCTGAAATCCTAAACCTCACAGATCCGCCTGATAGTGAAGGGTCCCATCCGAGACCCAGCTCTTGGGTACTCTGGTATATCAGTTCACACACGTGGACCAAACCAAACCTGACTTAGCAACATGAATAGGTGATAAGCTGCTGGCTTATGGTAACTGATCAGCCAAGGTGGAGTGGCCAGAAGGGAAGAGTGGTCCTCCTCCAAATGGAGTGAGCAAGCTCTCAGCCCTTCCTCATTCCTGAAGAGTCAAGAGTAGAAAATGTCATATTTACCTAAATGTCTTGTTCATTTCCAGAGGATCTTTAGTCTGAGATTTAGAATCACATCAGGCATGCAAAGAATGTTTCACATCAAAGAAAACTGCAAAGCATGACTGCAGGCAGCAAATAAAATGACACAAAGATGGGAAAATATTTGAATAAAAGGAATTGAACCAGACCAAGAAGATAAAGCAGCCTTTCTTCTGTGGCCAGCCATACTGTCCCTTAAAAATCTCTGTCATGTATTTCCATCAGGACATACGAATTGAACATCCCTAATCCAAAACTCTGAAATCCAAAATGCTCCAAATCCAAGAGTTTTTTTTTTTTTTTTTTTTAACTAAACCGACACCACAGTGGAAAATTCCACCCTGGCCTTAGTTTACACATGACAGTCAAAACAACAGGTGCACTAAAAACATTGTATAAAATTATTTTCAAGTCAGGGGCAGCAGCAGAGCACATCTGTAATCCTGGCTCCTTGGGAAGCTGAGGTGGGAGAATTGCAAGTTCAAGGCCAGCCTGGGCAGCTTATTGAGACCTTGTCTCAAAATATAAAACAAAATGGGCTTAGGATACAGCTCAGTGGTAGAGTACTTGACTAGCACATCCAGAGCTCTGGGTTTAATTCCCTTCTCCATTGAAAAAAAATTTTTTAGGGCTGGGTGCCTTGGTGCATGCCTGGATTACAAGTTCAAAGCCAGCCTCAGCAACGGCGAGGCCCTAAGCAGCTCAGTGAGACCCTATCTCTAAATAAAATAGGGCTGAGGATGTGGCTCAGTAGTTGGGTGCTCCTCAGTTCAATGCCCAGTACCAAAAAATTTTTTTTACTTTCCATATTTAGACTTGGGTCCCATTCCCAAGGTAACCATTATATGTAAATACTCTACCATCCCCCAAAAAAGTGAAATCCAAAATACTTTTGGTATTTTACATAAGGAATATTCAACCTGTATTAACCTTTTGGGGGATTCATTTTGACTGTGTTGGCCAGATAATTTATCTGATTAAGCAATTGAATTGATTCATTTAGTTTGTGAATTGACCAGATGTTTGACTAAATTTACTGTGTTTGGGATTCTGTAATTTAATCCACCTTAGATTCTTATAGTGCATGATGATTTTGAAAATGTTTGGCCATTTTAGTTAAAATTCAGGGTAACATTTGATGCAGCCATGATAACAACAAAAATCTGTTCTGTTCTAAAAATGTTTCTAGCAATGAAAGTATTTCTGGCTAAAAGAATACTCTTGACTGGTAGGGAGGCTCCCTTGGAATAAATGTATGCATTTAATTTTTTTTAAAGATTGCCTATATAGATACATTTATTAAATAAGGAAATTGTTGGTGAATGTTCCTAAAATAGAGGTTGATGTAATGGAAATAAAAGATATATTAAAAGATTTACCAAAGATTATTTTTATATCCTATATGCCAATGCACATGATCTTATATAAGGTACCAAAATAAGTTATTCAAAACTGCAAATAATGTCAGACAAATGCAACGTGTCCCTTCTAGAATAGTCACAAGAAGGGTTTGTTATGGCTGTTTTCTGCTTTAAGTAATTTCTTTCAAGAATGCCATAATCAAGCTGGGTGTGGTAGCGCATGCCTATAATCTCAGCAACCTGGGCAGTTGAAGCTGAAGAAACATACATTCAAGGTCAGCCTCCTCAGCAACTTAGGGAGACTCAATCTCAAAATAAAGACAAAAGAAAAAAAAAAAAAGGACAGGTGATGTGGCTCAGTGGTAAAGTGTCCCTGGGTTCAACTCCTAGTACCAAAAGAAGAAGGAGAAATACCACCATCACCCTAACTGCAAACTTTCAGATATGTTTGAAATGTTGTATTTTGATAGCTGTGCATGTGAATAATACCCTATCAAGAAAGAAGCACTTACAATTGTGGCTTTACACAGTTAAAGAGCGTTCATCTGCAAGTGAGGGGGAGGGTCTCAGCTACACTGACAGGAGAGTACACCCACACCCCTGAAGAATACTTGATTTGTGGTCTTCCACGTGAGACACACAGGCTTATCAATTCTTCAAGGACAAGGACCAAGTCTTTATTCTTCTCTGTACTCCTACCTTGTAGAAAAGAGTTCACAGCTCATAGACATTCTGCATATACTTTTTGAGTGGAAATTTCTGTTGGCCTGAAACTTTGGATATGAGATAGTATCCAAAAGTTCTAATGTCCATGGAGATTCATCTGGCCATTCCTTGATCTGTGTAAAGCAAACATTTCTAGTGTAAATAAATACAAAAACTAAATTTATTACATTCTATAGTAAAGCACTTTTATGCTTTTAAAATCATTTATTCTTTTTCTGCATATCTGATTAAAATAGCAGTAGAATGATTCTGGTTTTTCATACTAAAGAATCTACACATGATAATGTGTTTATAACCAACTTTATTTGGACAAAGAACTTCATTAGTCTATAAGTTATGTATGTTCTTAATATATTTTTATATTTGTAACTGTGATTTAAAAAAATCTATATAGTATCTTGTGTACATTCTCATTAGTATAGGAATAAAAGTGCCTGTTTGTTGAAAAGAGAGTGTCCTGTCTTCTACTTGCCTGCTCCTCATTTCTCAATTTTTGTCATCCTTCTGCTCAAGAGAAGGGTCAAAGGTAACTGCTTTTAAATGAGAAAAATCTTGCAGGCCATTATCATAAAGGACATGGCTGTCTTAACCTCTGCTCCCGGAAGTGCAGAGTTGGCCACATATGGCATTGCGTATATTGTAATAGGCTCTTCAGTGCTGTCTCCAACTAAATTCATGTTTTTAGTTCTTCAGTTCATTAGTATCCAAAATGTCATCTATTACCAACAGTCCTGGTGTATCCTCAGAGGCGCTGCCCTAGCTAAGTCGCTGTGAGCCCTTCAGAGACCTTTCACACATTAGTGGACAATGTGACAATTGGTAAAGAGCTGCTGAGCCTGCTTCCAGAATTATGATTTTACTCTTTGTCTTTTTCATATTCCAGTTGGAAGATCAGTATCCTTCACAACTCTGGTATTTTATTTTTCTATAACTAACTCCAGGAACCTTTGCTTTAAAACAAGTACAGTAATGGATAAAGAATTACATATAAAATCATTAATTCAAAGCAATCCATTTTAAAACAGTTTCTAGATTCCAATGATTAAGTTAACAAAACAATTTGACCTATGAGGTTGGACTTTTCCTAAGTAGTATTTATGGAATTTCCTCTTAAAAAAAAGAATATTAGGGACTAGGGGGATATGGTTCAGGGTAGAGCACTTGCCTAACATGGGTGAGGCTCTGGGTTCAATCACCAGGTCTGGAGAGAGAGAAAGAGATTACAATTTGAACTAATCACTTAGTGTTTTTGCTGATACATCTTCCACAATCATAAAATATTAAAACTTGGTATCAACAGTGTAGGAAACCAAGAACCACATTTAAAAATGATAGAGCAAAATAGGACAATTCTGGAATTTTACTCACAGGAGAAAACCTGCATAGATGTAAATACAGACAAAAAAACAAAGCTCCTAAAAAAGTTAAGAGGAAAAAAAAAAAAAAAGGAAACTGCTCAGAAGCCAATAGACCCAATGACCATCTATGATCCTGAGAACCTTCAACATTTTTGCATGATCAATCTTTATATATATATATATATATATATATATATATATATAAAATGTCTGGATGCATTTGTTTGTTAATAAATCTTAGACTTCATTTCATTGTCAGACCCCAGCAAAAGTGAAGCAAAAAATTTCTAAAGCTAAAATAATATTGAATAGGAAAGGAAAAATACATGAGTTTCTATGAAAATCTTTATGAAAGCTAATTAGATCAAACCACCAGAATCCAGAAAAGATTCTACAAGGAGAATTTGGGGGAACTGGGAAGGCTTTTGGTGTTGCCTATTAAAGGAACATTCATAATAGAAGAGTAGAAACTAATTGGTAGAATTCAAGCCCAAGTAATAGAGAAAAACCTGCAATGCTTGTTCTGTTTAGAAGTAAACATTTACCTCTTCACCACCAGAGGCAACAAATCCCCCAAAACATATGCACTAAAGTATCTCCCAACACAGCTCTTTGCTAAGGGAATTCTATTATGGTAGAAAATTTTCAATCTAGTTACTTTACAGTAACAAGGATTCTCTCCTCTGACCAAAACTTTATTATTTTTTTTCAGGTTCCTCTTTGCTTTCCATTTGACAAGGCCAGAACTTGAGCTTCCCTCTCTGTCTATATAGAATCCAGTTATGGTTTCAATACCCCAATCTTGGTGTCTGCCTAACCTCCATAACCCATCATCCCTGGTTTGCCTGCAGTAGAAATTCCCTTTACTACTGATGTCTCCTCTTAGAAAATTTCCATCCACTGACTGCCCCCCCCCATTCTGCTCCTTAGTCATTCTTGCTTGTCCTTGTGGGAGATGAGGCCAATCTCTCTCCCTGGCTACAATATCTCATTGCAGTGATCCTTATACATATTACATGGCCCCTCTTACATAAAGTCTAATTTACCGTCTTCGTCAAGTTATGAATAATTTTTTCTTTAATAATTATAATGATGCAAGGACTTTAATGTAAATCATCTTTAATATATTCCTCTTTTCCCCTGGAGCTCTTGACCCCAGGAAGAAACTTGACATCTATTTTGGTCTTTAAGAAAGATCTAGGTGAGCACAGTGGCATACACCTGTAATCCCAGTGACTCAGGAACCTGAAACAGAAGCAGTGCAAATTCAAGGCAGCCTGGGTCACTTAGCAAGACCCTGTCTCAAAATAAAAAATAAAAAAGGGCTGGGAATATAGCTAAGTGGTATAGTACCCCTGGATTCAACTTCCATTACTGAGAGAGAGAGAGAGCACTGCTATAAGCCATTGATTATCAAGAAGTATTTGTGTCTTGGGGCTTGCCAAGGAGCTAAGTTAAACAAAAACACATTTAAAAAAAATTGAGAACATAACTATAGAAATGAAGGGCATTATGTTATACTCATAGATGAATTTGTCACAATGAAACCAATTATTGTGCACAATTAATATATACTAGTAAGTATAAAGAAAAGTACTTACTAAGTATATTTTATTTAAAAAAATTTAAGTGGAGAAGTTCAGAAGCCAGGGAATAGTCCTAAGTTGGAGCTTTAATTAGATAATATTACTAATAAGAATTAT